ATTTTCCTCTGAGTAGCTTTTTCCCCCTACTTGAATTATTGCTATCTAGAAAAGATGTACTAAAGTTATTCACTATTTTTGTAAGGTTTTTTATATTTCTTCTTTTATTTCTACCACCTTATATTTTGAAATTATACTATTAGGTGATATTTTTATTCTTAATAGATGCATATTTTATCAAAGTGAAATATGTACCTTTGTTCCTATTACTGTTTTGGACTTTTTATTACATTTTTATCTGATGGTGTTACTTCTCACTTCCCTTCTGCTAATATATCCCTGCTGTCTCTTTTCCTCTACCATTATTTTAACCTTCGTATTTCTGTTGTCATCTCCTATAAATAGTCTATAAATAAATCTTTCTTTTTCTAATTCACAGTCTTTCATCTGTCCAGTTTAACTCATGCACACTTCTTGAAACCAGTCATATTTGGACTTATTGGTCATCCTGTTTTACATTTTGTATACACCAGGCTTTTGTATTTCTTTTTCTTCTTTTTCACATGTCTTGGAATTGATCAAATGTTTCTCCTTCTTTTTACTCTTAATGTTTGGGCAATTATGCATTCTACCTCAATTCTCCAACTGTTTGTCCTTAAGTTTAACATGAATATTGTACATCATTTTCTATTAATGTTTAGGTATCAATCTGTTTTCCCCACCACCCCCTGAAATATAACAAGAGATTTTATTTCTATCACTCCAATTCCCTCTTCATACCCAACTCCACCATCTTCTACTTCTCATGGTGAGATCAACTGAAACTTCATTTTTAAACTATTATTTCTAATTTAAGCATATATCATGTTTTACTCTTTTTTTTATCATAGTTGCTAATATCCCACATTTCTTTTTCCAATTCATCTCCACTTCATTAAATATTTTTAGAGTAGAACTTCTAGACATCCCTTCAGGTAAAATGTTACAGATAGTAAACTTAGAATCCTTGTTTATGTGTTTTTCTGTCACACTTGAATAACATTTAGTATGGGTACACATTTTGGTTTCATAATTTTTATCTCTCAGAACTTCAAAATATTGCTCTGCCTTTGTGTACAGCCAAAGAGAAACCTAAACTCAATCTGACTCTCATTCTATTTAATAAATTCTATTCCTTTTAGCTCACAAAGCTTTTATAATACTTTCTTTTTTCCTTGATCTTCTATAATTTTGCCACAGTGTGAAAATGTGGATTCTCCATGGGCCCTTCAGTGGGCATGACTTTCTTCAGCTCTGTACATTTTTCTTTTCTTATATCTTTGAGAGCTTCCTTCGCTCAGTTCTCTGTTCTTCAAATGCTCATTAGTGAATGTTGGAACTTCTTAAACTAATTTACAAGGCTCTTGACGTTTTTCAGTGTTTTCTATCTATTTATCTTTTTCCATGTTTTTGCAGAATTTCACACTTTAGTCCTCCAGCTGACTCTTCTCCTGTGGTCATTCTGCCTTTCAATCAATTTCTTAACTTTTTAAATTAATTGTTTATTTCCAGAAACTCCAAGTGAATGTCTTAATTCCCTAGTCTTACATTTTTTTATGTCTCTTGTTTGACCTATTAACTCTGAGATCGAATTTTTTTCCTTTCATTTAGCGTCTAGGTTATATGCTTATCTTTGTATTTGAGATTCCAAGTTAGCCTTCCGATGAATGTTGTTTTGCAGCTACCACAGCTTCCCTAGGCAGTTAAGGAGGTGGGAGGGGCTGCATGTCCTCCCAGGCAAGGGTACTGCTAGTTCACAACCCTTTTGTGGGAGCTTATCCTCCTCTTCAATGTTGACAGTCGATGGGGTTAGGGGCACTGCTATGCCTCTAAAATGGACACACTTACTGCTCCACCTTGTGGCAAAGTCCTCTGTTGTTCACCATCTGGCACACACCTGTCTGGCTACTCCTACTAAAGTAAGGCACTCAAACAGCCACCACAATCCCCCTGCCTCGTCCCGCCTCTGCTTCCTGAATTCTCCACCTCCAAGCTTAAAGAACTCTGGCTCAACTCAATTCTGACTCTATTCTGCCACCCAAAACTTTATCTTGAGGCAGTTCTTGGCCCTCAATTTCACATGCACAAATAAATATAACTTGGAATGATGTATAGGGTAGTGTAGATACCACCATATTATTTCCAGCCAGCAAGCCTGGTTCAAGTCTTAGCTCAACTATTTGCTACCTGGGGACCTTAGGCAAATTACTTAATCTCTCTGTGCCTCAGTTTACTTATTAGTTAAACATGGATAATATTAACCTACCTCACAGGATGAGTGAGAAGATTAACACATATAAAGGTCTTCAATAAATACTGGTAAACAATATGTATTCAATAAATATTAGTTTCTGTTACCATATGGGTACACATTTTAGTTTCATAATTTTTATCTCTCAGAACTTCAAAATATTGCTCTGTGTCTTTGTGTACAGCCAAAGAGAAACCTTTGTGTACAGCCAAAGAGAAATTCAGAGGTTTCATGGCTATAGTCTCCTTCTGGGTATTGAAACTTACCCCATGCCTGGACCTAACATTAAAAAAAAACAGAGCTAAAGAAAGAGTCATAGCTACCAACAATTGTGAGACACAATTAGAAGTTAAAACAAGGAATTTCCTTTCTTCCTTTGGTCAATTGAAAACATTTTTGCTGAAGGCATTTCTTTACTACAAATGTCTGAGGTTCATCCAGTTTTTAATTCTTTATAAGTAAGCTATTTTCTTTTTTACCCAGATGCTAATACAATTATTTTCTCAACCTTTTAAAGGTTTTTAGTGTGTCGTTTTTTTCGCTTGGAAGTCAGTCAGTATAATCAGATTAATGTCTAAATTAAGAAAGTTTTCTTTAAAAATTATGTTCTTGATTAATGATTCATGCCACTGAACATTCTTTCTCAGAAGCATAATAACACTTGGGTTTACTTTCTGTTCTCTTTATATCTACTAATTTCCCTCTTATTATTTCCTGTACATTGTAAAGGACACACTCAAAGTCACCCTATTCATTACTAGTTAAAGTATCCAATGCATCAGTTTTGTTTCTTTCCTGCCTCTAAAATCTATTTAAATTCTGCTATTGTATTTTTAGTTCTCTAGGAGTCTCCCTATATTTCATTCAGTCATTCACACCTTGTCGCAGTTTATCTTCACGGACTTCTACTCCAGTTTCATACATGTTATGCCTTCTTAAATCTTAGTGATCATGCCAAAATGTTTTCTAAGTTCCATTCTGGTTCTTGCCACAAATAATTTTCTGAAGTTTCTTTTTTTTTTTGTCTATAGCATGATATATCCATTCCTTATTTGGCACCTTATTCTTTTTCCATAACCCTGTATTTTTAACCCCAGACATGGGATGATCTACTCAGAACCAATGTGCATCAACAAAGGAGGTGTGTGCTTCCATCTGCTCCACTGTTGTGCATTTGCTTGCTGCTTGACTCTTCTCACCCTCTGCAGCTGAAGCATCGTCTGATGCACATTATGGATAACATCATTTAGAAGGGAAACTTACCCTATGAGAACGTGAAAAATTTTTTTTAAATATTGAGTATGTAGAATACATTGGTAAAAGGCATGCATATGTGGGGATAAATTTTGTTATTTTTATTGCAGAAAAAAGGTGGTGAATTTTGGCAAACAAGAACATAGCATGAGGAATGCAGATGAAGAACATGTTTGAATTTGACATTCAATGGCAGAGCAAAGAAATTCACCGAGACCGCTGCCCAATCTCGCCCCACCCTGTTGCCCCAGCTATAGGATCTCCCCCTCAGGCTAATGATGCTGTGATTCTAAAAATGCCATCATGCAAAATGAGCATGCAATCAGAGATGAAGCCTCACATGTCTGGCTTACACTAGCTCAGGGACAAACTGGGCAGGAGTTTGAGGAGGAAATATAACATTAGGTAATATATGAAAGCATAATGACTTGGGTCAGACTAATACAGAAGGGACAGAGTTTGGGAACTGCAAAGTACTAGACAGTCTGCAGGTTCCTACACATTCAAGTTTCTTTTCCCAGAATGCTTATGGTCCACGTAAATGAATTAATTTCTTTGGAATCTACATTGCCTCCTTTGTTCTACCTGTCAACACTGCTGGATGGAGGGAACCTTGAACTAGAAATAGAACAGCTCACTCCTTTCGGTTGCATGCTCTGGCTGGTTTTCTAGCAATTACAGAAGTCTGCTGACGTGCATGTTCTCTCTGCCTCAGGCTGCCATGTTGAAGGATCAGTCTTGCTGGTGCAAGAATGAAGCCAAGAGCTCCTAATTTTGAGCATAATTACCAGTGTCTCATAGGCTTCCACCTAGTGTAACTCTGCTGGACTGTTAGATTCCTCTCCTCTCTGCCTGTCCTGACTCTCTGACACTCTAAAACAGAGAGGGTGGGTGAAATAAACAAACCCAAGAACACAGCCACCAGGACTCTCCCTGTCCTTGTCTCACCAGAAGTACTTCACTTATGAAAACTAAACAGTCTAGTGTAGAAAGTGCCAATGCCTGTCCTCCCCTTCCTCTGAGTCATACTCAGGGAGTTCATTCAGTCTCCAAATGGCTGCAGAAAGAAAACAAACTGATAAGGAAGAGGCTGGGAGACAGCAGCAAGTAGAGAGAAGGATGTCTAGAATTTAGATTGGCAGAGATCTTGTGTTTCTGAACTCAAGGGAAGGCAATCGTGGAAGGAAAACAAGGCAGGCTGACACCCTGGCGGCATGATACGGAACCTCTCCACTGTGCCTTTCCATCCGGCCCCATTAACTTGTAGTCAGCAGAAACTTCCAGATTCTGATGATCCGCTGGCCACCACTCTCAGGTTTTAGAACTGTTGGGAGTTTTCAGCTTTTCTGTATGCCTTGTTTTTTGGGAAAAATGGTTACTAGCACAAGATAAATGTTTCATGCATAACGGAGATGAATTGTTAGTTGTGTTGATTATGTATTTCTATATTTTTGGATGAAATTTTTTAAGTTGAATTACGTCACTAAAAAAAAAGTCAGTTGGCAACGCATTGTGTTTTAACTAATGACAAAGTGATTTATTCACTAAGAAAGACATTTTAATCAGTCAAAGATTAGAAAAGAATAAGTTCACTGATTTATGGAAAGATTTAAGAATCTCACTCTTTCTCATTATTATAAATAGATACATTTTGCCCCATAATTAAAATTCTGAAAAATTCCAGTACAAATGAGAAAATATGTTTGTCAAGGAAAAGAGTAAGAACAGAAGCGGTGCCGGACAATGCACCCCCTGCAGATAGGTCATGGTTACCCAGCTCAATGCCCCCCTGCAGATGGGTCATGGTTACCCAGCTCAATGCCCCCCTGTAGATGGGTCATGGTTACCCACCCAGCTCAATGCCCCCCTGCAGATGGGTCATGGTTACCCAGCTCAATGCCCCCCTGCAGATAGGTCATGGTTACCCAGCTCAGTGTCCAGCAGCTATGCCAGGTCAGCACAAATGAGTCCTCACAATAGCAACACCAAACAAGAACCACACAAAAGCCTATATATTATCTGAGATAAATTTGACCTATGGGACATGCATTCTGGGTAAAGGACTGCAAAGAGCTGCCTCAAACTGCCTTGGATTTTGAATGAGAAAGTTTTTTATACCATGAACAAGCCTGTATGAAGAGCATGGATCTTGTGTCCCACTGGTGTAGAGGGGACCTGGAGGCAGGGACCAGCCTGACAGCAGTGAAGTGAACCTATCTTCTTCTGAAAAAACTGTGACAGCCACACCTAACCAACACAGCAGCGCCTGGGAGGCAAATGGTACTAGGGCAGGGAAACTAAGCCACAGCCAAGACCAGAAATTCATGTCCATGGACCAGAGACTGACCAGTTCCTGAGTGGGGCCTGTCCGTAGTCGTTGCAGAGTGTTCAGCCAAGCCAGAGATCAAGAACTCAGGGAACTCGAATGTCCCAGGTCCTCAACTCTTGAATTCTAAGGTGTCGGGCTTTCAGTATAGAACTTATATGCAGCAAGGGTCTTCCTGCCAAAGATTTCCATGTGCATTGCACCTGGCCTCATGCACCTGGCCTGCTCTCAGGATGTGACCAGGGACAACGCCTCTGGGAAGACAACTAGGTCCATGTGGTCAGGGTACAGAAAAGGGGAATGGGAAGCCCAAAGGTCCCCAGGGAGCCTTCTCTCCCCCACCTCAACATGCTGGGTATTTCTTAGTAACCACAGATAAGACTTCTCTGAGGGAGGGGTGAAGAAACAGAGACCTTGCTTCATGGTGATAGCCAAGGATACTCAGTAAGGAAAACTGAGACCAACTCTCTTAAACCCACTTGCCACTCTTCTGGGTCAATATCAAATTCACAAAGCAAATACCATTCTCCTGCTCTGTGCAGAATGTGTGCTGGTTGGGGCAGTCTTGAGCTATCGCTTAAAGGCATCCCCAAGCCCTCCTTTCGCCCATGAGAAGAACCTCACACGACATCTTTCATGCAGGAGAAGAAGATGGAAGCGTAGGCAGCAGGGCATCTTGCCCAGAGGTGCGCCACCATTTTAACTGCTGCAGAGAGAGAGCTGAGTTTCCAAACACATTCCGTTTAAACATTTCCTCTTGCCACCCCTGTTAAGGTGTTTTCTGGGTTTGCCATCTCCTAGAAGCCGTCTAATGACTTGAACTTTCAGGATTCCTTCATCAGGAGATAAGGTAACTTAAAGTCAGTATTATTCTCAATTATGTTGACCTCCAAGTGCCAGAGGGTGAATTGCTATGCTGGAACGCTCAGGGTGGCGAGAGGTTAGGAGGGGGCAAGGGCCTTTCGGTACTAATGGATTTAGATGAAAACCAGCTACAGGGTAAGAGAAAGATCAGGACAGGCATGGGCTGGTGGCTGGGGGAGGGAGCGCGGGGCTGTGCGGGGACTCGGCCGGCTTGAGGTATTAGCAAAGGAGCAAATCCCCACGTTAAGCCAGGGGAACACTTGTCACCCTTTGTTCCCGCTCCTAAGTACTAGACAGCGTGCCCCTTTCAAGGACAGCAGACCCTGCCATAGAAGAGAATGGTTTGGGTTTTGTTGTGTCTGATGAAGAAGAGGAAAGGATGATTAGCATTGAACGTCACCCAGGACGGTACGGACTTTTCCACACCCACAACCCCACTGGCTGCGGCCGCCTCGGAACCGTTCTCATCCACTTCCACAAAGGTTTTATGGACAATTTTTGACAGGTACAACTTGGGAGTTGGAGAAATCCCCGTCAGATCAGCCTTCCTTTCCTCAAAGATATCTGTGATGCCCATGCCTCGTAGAATGGAATTGAGATCGTAGCTGTCTTCCAGGGTGAACTTAGGAAAGGAGACATCTACTCTTTCTTCTGACATATTTTCTGAGCTGCTCCAGGCCACTATTTTTTCATAGGTGATATTCTTTTCGAGCTGCGAGAGAGAGAAAATAATGTTTAGGTTCATATTATTAGCCTGCAACGAATGCCCCAATTACTTCACAAAGCCCAAGTCTATGTCAACAGTCAGTCGAAATCTTCTGGGTCCTTTCCCTAATCCTCAAAATACTCTGTCATTTAAATCTCCTCTGAACAAGTCTCTTTCCTCTTTAGAAGTCACAGGACAATTTGGGTTCCAGTCCCAAACAGGCGGCTGACAGAGCAGTGTTAAAAGCCCAGCAAAGCTCAGTTGGTTAAGCCGATGAGAGTGGCCAAGCCTTAACATTGTGCATTTAAACTCCTCTTCTATAAAACACATAATACCATTAAGCTCTTACAAGGATCAAACAACACAATGTAGGCAAAGTGCTTAATGTAGTGCGGGCACATAACACCTTTTGAACAATGGTTCTTCCGTAATTTCTCTACCAGCATTTCACTGTCACCTCCTCTCACCCACCTCTACCCCTTTACCTCCCAGGACAGTCTGTAGCTGAGCTTCCCCAGCCTTCATTCATTCCCATCTCACAAGCAATCTCTTCCGGCATCAGTGTCTCCCCTTCTGCCAAGGCACATGCTCCCCAAACAGGATTCAGCCAAAGGGCCTTTAACTGAGCAAAACGGTCTGAGTAGGAGGCCGGAAGTCAAGATATTCAGACAAAAGGAAAAGCTGTTTCACTGCAAGAGTTTGCAAGTTCCCCAGCACCCAGACTCTTGGGCTGGAGAAATGATTGCAGAGAACTTTGAGATTAGAGAGGAAGTTCCTATCCTGCATTTGTGGCATTTGTTCTTTAGATCTAAAGCAATGGTGAGTAAATATCTCATCAAATCCAGATTCTTACATATTCTCTGATTCCTCTGATGGCTCACATACCATCCTTCCCCAGAATAGCAGACAGAGCCCCAGAGTCAAAGATCCGTTGTGACATATTTTGTAGAGACGTGGAAATGAGGGCTTACCTCTTCCAGGCCCTTCAGGTCATCTGCGGAGCACGCTGGCAGCAGGACGAACATGCTGAGGGCCCCCTTGGTGTACCTCATCTCAAGGATCTGCGCCTGCAGCTCCTCGATGAAGCCGATTCTAAACAGACCCTTTTGATTCATCATCTTCACAGTCTTCTTTTCACTCTGTGGTGGACAAGGTAGAAAGTCACAGTCCCCAACTTCCCTGAAAACAGGGGTCTGTTAAGATGACACGGTGAGCTACAACAGTGATCTTAGCTTCCCGTGGTTTTAATGACTTCTGCAGCTATTGGTTGACTATGTTGGGAGACGGCCTATCCAGACCTCTGCCCAAAGCCGAGTCAGCAGAAGCAAGCCCAGCCAGCTCTCCACCTTCCTGCCTGCAAGGGTCCCGGCACTGGCCTCACTCAGCCCCCTGCACGCATTTCCCCCTTCCTCCCACTCTTCAGCCTGGTGTCTTAGAACACAGGGTTCGGGGCACACATGCACCAACATGAATGCGAATGCATGCATTTGGCTAAGTAGCTTAACCTTTGCAACTTTCTCCCCCCTTAACTCCTAAATGGGAATGACAAACCCATTTTTGTAGTGTTATTTTGAGGGACAAATGAAATGATGAATGGCAAATGCTCTGCATAATGCCTGGCACAAAAATGTTCCATGAACTTCAGGTACCAATTTTTGTTAATAACAAAATGTTCTTATTATAAATGTAAGCTGTAACCCGGAGACCTAAGTTTTAGATTCGAGTAAGCACGCTGCAGCACATACTCAGTGGAAATTGTGAACGTAAAATCTAGAAAAACATGTGCTCTAATATAGTACCTCATTTACAGAGAAAAGTGCATCAACTGTGTTTTCAGAGTCAAAATATTTTTCCCATTTGGCCTTGAAGTAAACAGCATTCACCAGCACCAGCACGGTGGCATTGTTAATTGTGTCCTTGCTGAAGAGCTCCTTGATTTTACCTTTAAGAAAAGGTCCAGAGAATATACTGAATACAAATTGCATCAAAAGTATTCATGTAGACAGAATTTTTTAATGCAACTAAACATCCCGAAAGCTAGTGCATGTCTTATTCAAGAACTAACCCAAGAAAATTAAGCCACTCATAGTCCTGGGGTGGAAGTGATGGTGGGGGATGAATCTAGTGGGGATATGGTTCAGGGGGACAAGATGCCTGCAAGTAAACAGGAAAGAAAAACATTGAAGCCTCTCCATTACTGGCTGCACTGAGTTTAGAAACCAATTCAGGATGCAGAGGCTAATCCTTAAACAGCAGTGACTCAACAAATAACACTTCAAACCAGAGGACACAAACCTTGTTCAAGGATGGTTTACCCATCTTAGAACCCCTTATCTAAAAAAAATCTAGATCATGGCTAGGGCATATTCCTATACAGGAAAATCTTTAATTTGTTAGAAAAGTTGTGTTAAAATGTTTGGCATGTTATATGGAACCGTAAGTGGGATATTAAAAAGACAATTTATTTGATTTTTATAGACTCTGCTTTACATTTTGAAGAATTAAGATGTTCAAGTCTAAATGTTTTGTGAGCCTCTGGTCCCTCACAGACTAGCAATCTGAAAAACTGGGCTGACTTGTTTTCTTCTGAATGGAAAGGAACACCATCCATAATGTGGTTGGTCTTTCTTACCTTGGGATTGAGATTCAACCCAGAAATTAATCTCTTGTCTGGACTTTTCAGTGTCTTTCCGGAAGTCAATACTTTCGATCGTTGTGTGATAAAATTGAACCACACCATCTAAGTATTCCTGTTAAATTGAAATACATTGAAATAGTGCAATGAAATCATATAATTATGCAATTGTTAGGAGTGAGGCAGTCATGAAGAGTCCCATGGGAAAGATGTGGCTGGTCATGTGAACTGGTTGCATGTGGTCTCTATCAGTCCCCAGTCTTAATTAGCCAGAGGCATTTTTTAGGGTTGTGGTGACAATTTGGGATATAGAATGTTATATCCTAGCAGATCATTTTATTTGCATGTTCCATTTGTGGACACATCACAAGGTAAATATAAAGTAACCTGAGAGACTTAGCTGTAAAATGCTTTTATTTTTAAGAATTAAAACCCTGCTTAACAGTTTCTGTTTGGGCTGACAAAAAATTTTGAAAATAGGGTGATAGATAGCTATACAACATTGTGAATGCAATTGAAGCCATTCAGTTGTATACTTTAAAATGGTTAAAATGGCTATGTTATTGTTAGCTAGATATCTTAACCCGAGTTTTTTAAAAACTAAAAGGGTCATATACCAAAACCACTGATTTGTACATGGTTAACAGCAGAATTGTATGAGATATGAATTTATATGTCAGTAAAGCTAATTTTTAAACAATATGTAGAATCTCATTTCCATTGCAAGAGAACATACTCTGGTCAAAATAGACTTCCCCATCTTTTAGGCCAACGGTAACCCTTGTATCACGCATTGGCCATTGGTCACACCCCTCAGGTTTATTGCTAAGCCTGTGGCTCTCCCTAGTGGTGAGAGATGAAACTGAAGCCCAGATTCAGACGCATCTTGCCCAGGTACAAAGCTGCGGAGCCACCAGACAAGACTTGTGCCTTTCGGCTCAATGCAGTCTCTTGCCACATCACTGTACAATGTCGTTACAGGGTGGTCTGGTTATGGCACAAAAGGGAATTGCAGAGAAATGCAAGAGGGGGCAGTTACTCGAGTCTGGTAACAACAGGCCTCATAAACTGGTCAAGCTGAAAAGTGGGAGAAGAGCAACAGAAGGTGTGGGAGAGAGAGGTGAGTCCTGGGCATCCCACAAGTCCACAGAGTACCCAGCTCTCATCGATTTTTAAGTCGTGTGCTAAGTGGTAGCTTTAATCACCAGTCATGCCTCACTCACCGGGCAGATCGGGAACTCCTGCTCTCCATAAAGCCTATTGGCAATACTCAGGGTGCAATCAACTCTGATCCTGCCTAACTTGGAGAGAAGCCGCCCGAAGCAGCAGCTGAGCAGTCCACTGTCATCGTTTGACCACTCATCCTACAAGAAACAAAATAAACTGTGATGTCAGCAGAGTTCAATGCCAGGGAAGCAAGCTGTCAGTTTGCTGTTACCCTGTCGGGGAGCAAGCGGAGGAGAAGAGGAATGCAGGGTTGGAAAGGGTCCCGCGGGAGATCATGGCTCCCACATTGGTATCAAGATCATCCAGGAGCAATACACCTGGAGATCAGCAATGTGCACTTCATTTTAGATCAGTGCACCTTGTTTTTCTTTGTATTCAAAAAGTTATAAGAAAAAGATAATCGTTTCTCCACCCTCCTCTTAAACTTTCTAAGGTAGAGGATTTATAACCTGGAGGACACCTTTCCTACTCCAGGTAGGACACAACTACACAAGGTTTGTGTGACAGTACAGATTCCAGCATGACCTAGAACAGGCGAAAGTGGAGGGAGAGACTGAGACTCCCACGACTGATTCCTGCCCCTTATTGCCCTTCCCTCTCAACCATGCTCCATCCTGAGGACCTGTGGCCTGTGAGAGTAAGGGAGGAATGGGACGATGACCTACATTTCTTTATTATAAGCAGAAGATTAACTAGATTTCTCTCTGTAGGAAACTGACTTACAGCCCCGAACACAAATGACACATAAAAGGAATTGTAGGTCACATGGGGTTATTGCTGGTGCAACTCCATGGGGGGGAATCCCAGACCCAAATACCTCTGAAACTGAAATCAGTCAAAGGGAGAAATAAAGTTTAAGAAACCCGTTTATTTCTTACAAGTAGTCAGCGCATCTCTCTCTTGTCCAGGCTGCAGCAGAAGAGAGCGCTCCACCCAACCTCTCCTGTCCCTATAAGCCCAGCAAGAGCCCTGCAAGCCCTTGTAATTACCTATTGATATGTAGATGAACCACTTCTCTCCACCCCTTGAAATACCTATTGATATAGAGATGCACTAAAGCAGGCAAAAGATTCTGGAAATATTACAATTTAGTCCACAGCTGGTTTCACTGCTATTGATGACAAACAGGATCTGAGGTTTGGGGATTAGGTTCCAACCATCACCAGACACAGCACAGCCAAAATGAGCAGTTTGTAAGTAAGAGGAGCAGGGCAGGAGGCTCACCTGCAGAATCAGAGGCCCTGTGACTTCCTGCTGTCCTTCCTGAGAGCTGTCAGCCCGCACTTCTTGTGTTTTGCTTTTCAGGCAGGAATCATGTCCTTTGCTTTCATTCTGGGACAATTCACTGAAGTGTAGTACCTGCAGGATGGTGATTTTGGGGTCTTTTAGACGGTATGAACACGAAGACTGGACAGCTTCAGAAACATTTTTATGATGTGTCAATGATAATGATCATATAGTCAAACAAAACAATCAGGAATAGTTTAAACTAAAATGGTCATTTCCTTTGACTTGGGTTGTGATGAGGAATGGAGGGGATGTAAACTGAATGCTGCCCCCTGGGACTGCATTTAGAATGAATGTAACCAAACTGAAAGAAAATTAAAGTAGCATGAGACACATGTGGCTATCAAGCCAGTCTGAACTGAATGTTAGTTGTCAAATATACACCGGATTTTGAAGACTTAGTATGGAAAAAGATAATGTAAAATATCTCATTTAAATGTTTTAATTGATTACATGTTGATAAGATATTTTGGATGTATTGTGTTAAATAAAATATATTATTAAAATTTGTCTAATCTATTTCTTTTTTTACTTTCTTAGTATCACTACTGGAATTCTTTTAATTACATGTGTGCCTCAAATTCTATGTGTGTTAGACCAGGGCTGATCCAGAGCTTCAAATCAATCAAGTGAGTGAGGTCAGCAAGACAGGTTATCCAGCGTGTTCTCGCAGAAAGGTAGTGGTAAGAGCACATCTCACCCTGCTCAGGGTAGGACTGCTGGGCAGGTAACACCCAAGCTCCCCAAGGAGGAACATCTGAAACCTGCCCTGGCAGCCGCCAACTACACTCCAGAGCTAAGTTTCACTAGTGGGAAAATATCCCAAATCAAAGTAAATGAATAAAGCTGACACATCCTGCCTTAATCCAAAAACCTGACTCCTCCCTCTTTGGGGCAACGGCCCAGTTCATGCATAACCCCTGTGTTCTGCACTAGATCCAGGGAAATATAAGACCAAACCCTGGAGCCTATAGGTTTTTAGGGGGTTGTTCTTGTCACTTTCATTCATTCATTCTACAGATTTGTATTGGGTGCCTACTATAAGCCAAGCACTGTTCTAGGACAAAGATTCCTGCCCCCTAGGAGATGATATTCTAGTGGGGGAGGCATACAAAAAGCAATACACATAATAATAAATTGCTGTATATTAGAAGATGGAAAATGCCATGGGGGGAGCGCAGTGGAGCAGCTAGCATAAGGGGGATCTTATGGGGTCAGGGGCCAGGATGCACCATTAGATTAAGAGGTTGAGTGGGGCCTCTTTGAGAAGGTGAACTCCACCCAAAGTGTGGAAGGAGAAATGAGTTATAGATCAGCAATCTGGGCGCAAGCCATCAGGCAAAGAGAATGGAGCAAAGGCCCAAAGGTGGGAGTGGCTGTGGCTTCCCCGAGGAAGCCAAGCCTCAGCATGGCTCAAGGAGTGGGAACCGGGGAGGGTGAGAAGCAGTGTCTGGGTTATCTAGGATTTAGATCCCCAGGCCCTTGTGGGCCATGGTAAGGGCTCAGGCAAATGGGGAGTCTCGGTTTTGAGCAGATGAGTGACAGGATCTGACTTACGTTTTCAAAGGGTCTTTCTGGAAGAGGGGGTTGAGAGCACAGTCAGAGGAAGCAGGGAAGCCCATAGGGAGTCATGCCTGAGTTAGAAGAGGTGGTGGTGGGCCAGACCTCAGGAAGACGGGTTCTGGATATAATTCAAAAGCCAAGAGGCTTTTGTGACAAATTTGATGTAAGGTGAGAGAAAAGGGGAGTCGAGGAGGTCACCAGACCTTCAGCCACCGGATACTTAACTGGTGCTTCCGAAACATTCATTTGATGGATTGAGTGACTGACTGACCAATGTGTGGAACACACACTGAAAACCACTAGCAACAGTGGTATCTGTAATTACAGAGAAAAAGAGCAGCAGACTTGCTGACAGATGGACCGGGACAGAGGAGATGAACACGAGAAGCTGCCAGGCGGGTGAGGTTGGAGGGAGGCACCGTGGAGGAGGCGGAGTTTTATCCGAGCCTTGAAAGAATGGTTGGACTGAAAAGAAAGCAGGCAAGCCCAGGGCTGCCCAGGCAGGACCAGGGGCTGGCGCTGGGTCCCCACCTGGTCGATCTGACGGGCGCTGTCGCTTCGGGCCCCCAGGCGGACCATGCCGAGGGCAGCCGAGAGGCTCAGAGGACAGAAGAAGATGTTTCTGTGACAGTCACCTTTGCTTATCTCTTGGAAAAAATCGAAACAAAATTTGGAGTTTGCTGCAATGAGAGACTCCATTGTGAAACTGATGACACCTGAAACTAAAAAAAAGAAAAAAAAAACGAAAGAGAAAGAAAATGATGGTCAGAGGAAAATAGGGAAACAAGGAAACAAAACGTTCTCAATTTAAATACCTGAAATACAGTCATACAGAATTATTCAATATGTTATTTAAAAAAGGTCACCATCATCTGGTTTACAGATACTGACGTTGTTCTTGATGTCTATACATAGAGGTCTGTTTTCGTTGAGCGGTGTGAGCCGGCTTTCTGGGGCTGCCAGAACAAGTGACCACAGACGGAGTGCCTTAAACTCACAGTTCTGGGGGACAGAAGTCCAAAATCAAGGTGTTGGCAGAAGTGGTTCATTCTGGAGGCTCCAGGGAAAGTCCTATCTGCGCCTCTCAACCACCTCCTGGGGTGTTTGGGGCTTGGAGAGGTTTCCCTCATCTCTGCCTTCACCCTCACGTGGTGGTCTTCGCTAGGTCTCCTGAGTGCGTGTGGGTCCACATTTCCCCTTTCTTTCACTCTAAACCAGTATGACCTGCCCCCATCGTAAGGTGATAACATCTGCAAAGACTTTATTTCCAAATGACGTCCATTTGCAGGTCTCAGGGCTTAGGACTTAAACATATCTTTTGGGGGCGCAATTCTACCCACTTTGTGGTAGAATTTCCTTTCTTCAGGTAAAAGAAAGTCATGGGCTACCAAGTCCCCAAGTTAGCAACCAAAAAAAGCATGCCACCTCCTTCTCCACAGGCTCCATTGGGTTCTGCTTAAGTCTGTTGCCTGCGCTCCCCCCTCCTCTCAGTGACCTATGGCTGGGGGTATGCCCAGCACATTGTCATGGGCCACGTCTTTGTTACCTTCTCGCCTCCTTTGACTCCTTCCATATGCAAACTGCAGGAGTTGAGGACTTTAATCAGGCATTGATATTGTTCAAGAGATAATAGATCTTGAAAGATATTGAGGGTTTAGAAGTCATTAGGCTTGACACCTCTTAACACTGTAGAACCACAGGTACTATAGAGGCAAAGTAGGAAGGTGACTCCTTGACAGATTCCTTGTCCCCCACTGATGACCCACTCCAGAAGTATCAAGAGAATCTCAGGGAGATCCCACCTTGGACCTATCCCTCGCAAAGGAAATGTCTTTTCCTTTGTCTTTTTGCCTATGGATAGCGTGCACTTCCAAGATGGAAATGCGAGCCCCCTTCTTTGCATTTTCATCATCAGACACGTGGCGCATAGTAAACTTGGTGAAATAGTCATTGTTTTGAATTAAACAGTGTACATTGGTTTTAGCATCTTCCCAGTTCAATACAGGTTTTTCAGCCTATAAGACCTAATTCAAAAAGATAACATTAGGTAACTTTTTAAAAATATGCCAGACGTATGTTTTACATATATTAGTTTTACTCCTACAATTCTGCAAGGCACATATTATTGTTCCCTTTTTTCCAGATAAGAAAACTGATAAATAAATTTGCACACGTACTTGGCCCAAAATAACTGCTCTTTCTACTCTACTATTTCTAGGTCGCGACTCTAGGTGGGATAGGCTGAGCAAACGCATGCCCACTAAAAATTGGTACTTTGTCCCCTTTTTCACTTTACGGTCTGTTTTTATCCTCACATTTTTTTCCTGCCAAATTTGTCTGTGACTTATATTTCTCATTTTGTGCTAGTAAAGCTGGTTTCAGACAAGTGTGTTCCAAGAACAGTGTGTCCTCAGTGTGCCTGGAAATTCAACAATGCCTCACCTCTCAGAAAGCTACAGTTGCAGGTGTTGGAAAAATCTTCACCTCCAGCACATTCTTTCTACAACAGCAACTGGCCTTACCCAGTAGGTTACAAGTCTACTAAGGAAACAGAGAAATCCTATAAATTAAAGATGGTCTGAGTTGAGGTGATTTCATAGGTTTTTGTTAAATCATAAAACCTTTGGAAAAAGGTAGTCTAATACTTTGCTTATCTCTTGGAAAAAATCCAAGGTTGGTATAACCAAGGTTGACATTTGGTCAAAATCTTTGGCATCAAAAGAGGAGAAGGCAGGGACATTCTGGCTCTTTGAGAGCTCAACTTCACCCTTGCCCCCTTGTGGGGATGTGGCCCTGGCCTCTGAGGGGAAGGGCGCTCCTTGCTGGCATGAGCACACATAGAGCTGAACAACTGGAGTCTTACCTGCTTGGGAAAGGACGGGGTTGCTCGTGCAGGCCAACTCCCTTCTTGAGACTGAAAAACCAGTGAGGCCAGAAGAGGCTAAGGGACCGGCGCACAATCACGCAGTTGGTCAAGAGGCGAGCAAGGCTAAGGCTTCTCCGGGCCCAGGCCTGCTCTCGCCTGGAATATACTGTTTTTTCCACACCTTTCAGATGCTGCCACTATCCTCACTCACGCTGGGAGCTGCACCACCAAGTCTTTCTGCCCATTTGTGCATGAACAGCATGGAATCTACACTCAACTCTGGCTTTAAAAAAAAATCCTAAAATTAACATTTAATAATTTGATTAAAATGTCACCCAGTAACCATCTTTCTCAGGGACTTTTTTTTTTTGAGATTTTTAAATTAGAAGCTGGCTGAATTTTAAATTAGAAAACTGAGAGGGGGTAGTTTTTTTATTAGAAACAGTAACCTAGTTATTCAAAAAATATTTATGAAGCCCTCCCACGGGGTTCATCACTGCACATAAAAGGGGGGAACTGAACAAGACACAATGTCTGCCACCAAGAAGCCCACTATCTAACAGAGCAGACACTCCAATATGAGCAGCTACAGTGGTAGCCTAACAGCATAGAGGAATAAAGTAGTAATTTACAAAATGAAATGGAAAAGGCCAAAGAGTATTATTATATAGGAAGATTATTTAAATGGCACTCACCAAGATTTAGTTATTCTAATAATAAAGACCCAAAAGGAATTTAAAAATATAATACTTACAACATTTTTAAGGCATCTTAACACTTTTTATTCACCAAATACAAGTTTTGATGGTCAGTAAAAGTCATGCTGTATTGTTACAACAGAAGACACCATAAAATAAAAAGATATTTAAGGTCAGTTTTCTTGTCCTTATCAAAAATCCCTTTACATTGTTACTAATTTGAAAGCAGTAATAGTTAAACTAGTGTCCAAATCCATTAGGTTTAAAAATAGGACCAATGTAATAATGATTTGAAAGTACAGTTGTAATCATCATAAAAGTAAGGTATAATTAAGAAATAGTTTTCAGCAGTATATTGCAAAATAACTTTCAGATTTTAAGAACTCTGTGTAGAAATACATTCATAGCAACACTTTCATAATAGACAGAATTCAGAAACAACACAAATGTCTATCATCAGTAGAATAAATAAATAACTCGCAGTTTAGTCATGCAATGGGATATATACACTAATGAGACTGAACGAATTACAGTCAACACATAATAACAGGACCTCACAACTGTAATGTTGAGTGAAATAAAGGAAAACTTTCCTACCGTATGATTCCATTCTATGAAAGTTCCAAAACTAGCAAAACTAATTTGCAGTCCTAGAAGTCAAGAAAGTGGCTAGCCTTGAAAATGGACAGGGGTAAACATGATTAGCAACAGATAGGACAGTAGCAGGCTAGTGAACTAACTCTCCAATAAGCAAAAAGTGCATGGTTTGAAGTGTTTGCCAATGTCTATGATGTAAATACCCCCACTGTGGTCCATTTCAAACTACCAAGTCATCACTGCAGAGTTGGGGGAAGATGAGCCAGTTCTGCTTTCATGAGCTGATAGAAGCCTGCTCTAGTACACCACTGGCTCAGGCCCGAGGGCGGCTTCTCGGAAGCTGGTAATGTTTAATTTCTTGATCTGGGTGTTGTTACACATTAAACATATTTATTTTTTATCCATTTTTATTTATATAATGTTACACATATGTAGCATATGTAGTTTATATATACATACATATGCATATGTTAATGTTATATATAACTATTTGGCTATATATAAATACTACAAAAACTATATATAACTATATTTATATATATAATTATACATCATTTAATTGTAAAGTATATTACAGATGCATTACTAAATATGGCAGCTAATTTTAAGGTATTGCAAGTTCATTTGTGTTTAACACAAGAACTAAGACCACATTGAAAGTTGAAGGACATTTTATTTCTCACAATGAAGTTGAGCTCCACATACAATTACGACATGTTCCCCAAACATTAAGAGGAGGTACTTTAAAATACTCTGGAAAACATTCCTCCCACGATGAAGTTACTGTCTGGCTAAGTCTGGAAGGGTGACTGCTGATGCAGGCTACCTCTTACTAAGCTACAGCTTGAAAAACTTGCACATGATTTACTTCAGTCATCACTATCGTCAAACACAATCACACTAAACTTTTAAAATAGGAAGGTATCTGAAAAATCTATTCATCTCCAGCAATTAGAGCTATCCCCACCCACAGGGACTTTATAATAATAGTTACACCATTTCATGTGAGCTTGCGATGTGCCTGCCATTTCACTAGTGTTGTCTCTACTTCTCAAACAATCCTGTAAATTAGAAATCATCTTCATTTTACAGCCAACCATGAAGCGACACAGCTGGCATACAAATCGGTCAGTTCAGTCCAACTTCAAAGCCACCCTCTCTCCTCCTACGCCATGCTGCCATCCGGAAAAGATAAGACTTGTGCTCTAAAAGGCCATGCCCCGAGGAAGCCACTGCACCACGTTACAGCAGGAAGATGCCTCCAGCATGGGCAGGTTCTGTCGGTGTCACTGACCAATGGCCATAGGCTGCAGAAAGGACCTCCAAGCTTGCAGCACCCAGCAGGCCCACTCTGAACTCTCTGCTATCTGGCATCTCAGGCAGCAGTTTGTCCTTCCAGGCCTCCTATGACCTACATGGGGGTTGCCTGTCTAGACTCTTTAGAACAGTTACTCTAAAGTCTTTCTCAAATTGCACTGTAATCTTTGCAAATGTATTATAAACATAGATTGGAAGATTGGAATATAAGATTGCAAAGACCCTTATCCTAAATTAGCATTGACTTACATAACTTCGTAGTTACTGTCCTGCTTTCACCTCCTCCTATAGCTATTAAAGGGAGGAGCTGACTCGCAAATGTTATTTAGCAAAAAAAAAAAAAAAATTCACTTTGATATCAATATTTTTGTCTATACTACATCCTAAGTAACTGATTTATTATTTAACCTCTAATGGAGTAAAAGGAGGACTTTCATTCTCAAATTCAGATTTATTGTACTGACGACAGAATATCAGAAATGCTACTTTGCTCTCACAGTGTTGACAGATGAATCACCTTTATTTTTTTATGGGTTTTTAAAACCTGAAATCCTACATATACATATATATGCACGCACAAACATATATGTTCATAAACATACATGAAACACACAGCATTCATAATTCCCTATCACTATATCACTGTAAGGTAATTGTTTTTTATATCTGTGTCTTTGCTTCCAAAGCATAATTCTCTTGAGGATAGGTTCCATGTTTTTATTCATCTCTGTACCCCCTCAGTAAAGAATACACATGGTACACAAGAGCACTTAATAGGTATTTGTGTATTTATTTGCTATCACCTGCCCCTTTTTCATTGTAAATAATTTTAATGATTCCAATATTAGATAATTCAGTATTTTATATTAACTGTATACATTCTGCAGGCAGCTGTAATCAATAGAAATGTTACATGGTAGAATCAACTTTTGATTGATTTCTACTACATTAGAAATAATTCACTTATTAAAATTGGTTTCCTTTATAGTAAATATGTAAAAGTTTAGACTAGATAGACGTTTTTTTAAACAACCCAAATATCCTGGGTGAAATTGTTCTGTCCTATATAATAGGAAGAAAAAATTTACCACCCAAAAATATTTCATGTCTTATGATTTTCCATAATTTCTGTAAAGCTGTTAATAACCAAAAAATGAAATTCTAACTTTATGTAGGTAGATGGAATAAATATTCAAACCTAGTTCTAACTAAATGATAAACAACCTCCAAAAACAAATACATATGAAAGATGGGATCATGAGCATTTCCAACTTAGGTTGCAAAAGGGAAATATAAAGTCATTTAAAATGTAGGAATTCTAAGTATTGTACCATTTTATTTTTCAGAAATAACTAATAAGAAGGTTAAATAAAAACAAAGAAAAGACTTTTAAAATTATTTCAATACCCACATTAAAAAAAAATCAATCAGAGACATAAGACATCTAAGTCGGGGGCTTAGGGAGGTGAGAGATATTGCTAATATCTCCTAGCGGGTTTGCTACATTCACAAACAATTTAAAACATCCTAAAACACCTTGCTCTCCTTTGGGTTTTTATTATTTAAAGTAACTTTTCAACACAGCATTTATTTTTTTTAAATAATAGCAGGCAATGCGAGCGTTTACCTTCTTGCCTTCAGAGTTGCTGCTACCAGCTGACCAGGTAAGTTTCAATCCACACCCCATCAGAAATGGAAATATAAGAACTTTGCCCCTCCCAGGATGGCACTTTTCCAAGTGCCATTTTAGCATCTAGAGTAAAATTGTCATTGATTGATTAAAAAGAAAAGAAAAGGAATGTGTGGCGTATGTATTTTGAAACGAATTCACATGCTGTGTGCTTTCAGCTAAATTAAATATTTAACCTAAAATGTTTATATTTTCCTTGCTCTTTCCAACTGGATCTCTTTTTGGAGGCCTCATAATATTTGACCCACACCTTTGAACTCAAATCCCTCTACTTAGTAAATAAAGCAGAGAATTATTTTACTTCATATACTCATTGTGTTAAACATTCTCTTGTACTTGAATTCTATATTATTCTAAACTTTTCTTGGATTTATTGCATAGGACTTGCAAATGTGCTTTAAGCTGTTTTCACACTGTGGGTTTTTTTTTTCCAGCAGTGGAGTTGGTGGGGGGCGGATTGTCATTTAATTTGTAGACTAGATTAGCTGAATGCCAGTCAGAGGATAGAAATTACTAAATCCTACAAAGAGATGGGGGAGGGGAGTGTGGAGTACTTTCTAGAAGAGAACCGATTTGCTAGGAACCAGAGGACTGATCAACTATGTATCACTATCTCCAGAAAATGTCCAGTTTCTCTTCCTTCACCAAGTAACCTGCTCATGTATTTATCCTATTTATTTCCTCAAGGGATTTTTACTTTCTTCCTTTCCCTTCCTGCCTGCCTGCCTGTCTGCCTGCATTTCTTTCTTTTTACTCCTATCTCCTTCTGATAAACCTTTCATGGGACAAACATATTCCCTAACTGAAAAATCAAGAGCTTTAAAACTGAGGCAAACAACTTCTGATGTGTCTTTTGGTTCTCACATTCTATGATTCCACTTTTTCACTTGAAAATGTTTGTGTTTTCCCTCTAAATGGGTCCACAAGTTTCTAAAAAACCACAATTCTTCAGTTATGGTTTACAAACGATTGGAAGATCTTAACATGTGAGTCAATTAATACTTCATGACAGTTGATTGGTAACTACTTCATGGGGTTGCTGTCTAGCATCTCCTTTCAAAAAGGGCACTATTTACCCTTCGAACTGGATGGCTTTTTGCCCTCCCGGGATTTCTGGTTGTCACATTTGGTATTGTTGGCTGGGGCTACTCACATGGTGTTGGGTTTCTGGGTGGCTGAGCAGAATCAAAGCTTGTGTGAAAATATTTAATCTAGGAATGCATCTCTTTGTCTTCTCAAACAACCCAACAAAGATCTGACTACAGATGATGATGCCCTACAAACCTAAAAATTTTGTTGTGATGTGATTTGTTCAATGAGCAATGATGAAACTCACCACCAAATGTAGCAGAATACTAACATAACATGATAAACCACTAGAGGCGCAGGAGAATCTGTTGAGCACTTGCTATGTGCCAAGCAGCATCTGGGGCTTTGCACACATAATCTCATCTGGGTGACTGAAGAAAGTCAGTTTCTCTAAGATCAGTGACTTAAAGGTGTTGGAGAATTACCCTGGAGGGTAAAGGAATTTTGGAGGTCAGCTGCCTGACAGTGCTATCAGAGGCAAGCTGAAATGTTTTCTGTGTCAACAGCTGTGGAAATAGGATTTCATAAAGTGTGGATGGAGTTAGATGTCTCCTATGTCACCACCCATCACGAGTTATGGAGCAATCATTTAACCCCTTAGTAACTAGTCTTTCTCTGGCTGGAACTAGAAATTCAGGGATGCCAAAATGATTTGCTAGTCAGTGTTTACTAGCTTGTGATGCAAAGCAATATGATTAAAATGCTTCTGTGGTAAAAAGGCTCTTCTTCATCTAATTTTACATCATAACACTGAGGAAGCTAAGTACATATATGGGGAAGGTATCAGCACACAGGCCTCCAGTCTAATGAAAAATGTATCTTTTATCTAAAGTAGATGGTTGACCTGACATTCATGTATTTTATCCTCCAAACTTGAAAGCCTGAGTAACAGCAATATAAAACCCAAAAAAGGAAAAAATTCCATTTAAACAACAGAAAGAACAATAATAAAGATTAAAATGCAATAATTTGTTTTAAAACTTGCCATCACCCTTAAATAACAATTACCCATTCCCTAACAGTCCTGAAGCCTCTGGGCTTAGAAACAAGATGAACTGCCTGCCCCAGTGTGACCGGCCATGGGGACCAAAGACGACGGGAGCCCTGACGTGGCAAAGAAGACACCACAGGCAGAGCAGAGACCCTGGTCTCCCTCTTGCCAGCCTGAGACCTGGTGCAAATACCCCTTGAACTTCCAGTTTCTCACCTATGAGAATATAGGAATAATGATACCATTTCCTTGCTCTCACGTGTTATACCAATGTCATATCATTATTATTCTATAGAACTAGTACTGTATAACCTTTTTTTCTTCATTTCTCAACTGCATCTATATGTTATATAGCTACTTTTTATATAATTGTAAGTCAGTGCTTCATCCTTCAAATCGGGACTCATGAACCATAGCCCCACAGGTCAGATCCAGCCTGCTGCCTGTTTTTGTAAAGTTTTATTGACACACGGACAGGCCTGTTCGTGTACCACTATGAATGACTGCTTTCCAGCCGCAGTGGCAAAGTTGAGTAGCTATGAAGAGACGGTACAATCTGCAAAGCCAAAAACACTCTCAGGTCCTTTACTGAGAAGTCTGCTGATTTTTGCTTTAAATGATGGAACATGATATTTTGTTAAAGCCTATGAAATGTTTATATCCATATATAATGTCTCCTTACATAGAACCAATATTATAATAGGCTGATAAGAAATACAGTTTCTTAACCTTAAAATATGCATTTTGGTATGATCTTAACCCCAGGCAAAACTCTAGGCCCTAGAGTGTTGCAGTGAAATAATGGCCCAGACATTCATGTGGTGAATGTGTACTGAGCGCTACTATGCATCAGGCACAGGGTGCACACTGAACAAGAGTGACTGCTCCTGCACACGTAACACCTCATGAAGTAGAAGCTTCCAACTCTGACTCTATCACTTGCATCAAGATATAATAAACATTTATGGAGGACCTATTACATGCCAGAGTCTCCCACACCCATTACCTCCTCCAGCCCTTCCAGTAAGTCAGGGAGGGAGACATTATTAGCCCAGGAGGAGAAGGGAGAAAAATAGGACTCAGACAGCTGAAGTTGCTCCCAGTCGTGATCTTAGAAAGTAGCAAGATTTTAGCTCTTCCCTGCTGTCTGATCCCAAGAATAAAATCCACAACATTACAGCTTCAACACCAAGACAACCAGCCCCAAAGGCGCCCCTACCAACAACAGCCTGGCTACCTCCCGGCACATACCTGGAGTCAGTGAGGACAGTCGCCAGCTAAGATCTGGTCTCTGTGAAGTCAGTTCATCATAACGCCAGGAAGGGAACAGTCACGGTAAGGACAGGTGTTGAGCAAGTAATTCTGTGTCTGTTAAATAATGACCATGAATCAGAATAATTAACTTACATAAGACAGAGAAGGGAAAAGATATACATTTATGGCCATTAAATCAATGAATTTTAAATTAAAGTAATTATCCCTCAGTCTGTGTTATGGCTCCTTTAGAACAGGGTATCCCCCTAACACAGCCTCTGTTTACAAGCTAACCCACAGCCTGCCACTTTCCAGATCCACAGGTTACAGATGAAGCCTTTATCAAAGGCTCCAAAAAGGCCAGGATTCCTGTCTCTGTTCCTTATTCTCCCCAAACAACTTACCAAGCCCTTTAAGCACTGTGAAGCCCCATGAGTTCATAGTTTGTAAATGGAATACACAAAACCCAGGAGGAATGGATTTCACAGTGTGTCCAAATCCACCCCCGGCAAACGGATTGAGTGGTGACAGAAGTCTGTGGTCTGAGCTAAGGGTGAAGCAAAGCAAAGTGTAGCTGAGAAAAAGTGAGGTATTACAAACGATTTTCTCTGTGTCTATTACCTACTCGTCCTGACTACAGCTCCACAATTCACTGAGTTATCTTCATCAGCTACGATTTTTAATTCTGGCATCTCAGACAAAAACCTAACAAATGAATAAATTCTCTCCCCTCTTCCCTTCTGTCACTGGTTCTTTCTCTTTATCCTTACTTCTGTCTCCCTCACCTCCTCATTCCCTATCCCTCTGTCCCACCCAACCCATTTTCCCCCTGGCCTCTCTCGCCCCCTCCTCAACCTCTGTCTCTGAGTCAGGCTACTTCAGAGGAATTAATTCACCTGCAAAACTCACCTGATATTACCTGTCACCAAAGAACAACATTGGCTCTTTTTTCAAAACATGGTTCATATTTTGTTAAGGGAAATAACATGTCTTGGAGGAATTTTCAGATATTTAGAGGCCATTTAGTTCATTTTGCAGCCTTACGGCACAGCTATGGCCATTGAATTCCCAGAGAAAGGATTTTCCTCTTTATGGAATTTCAAGACAGTACACTTGATGTTCTATGACAACCCACCCCTGGACCATGACTGAGTGGGAATCATAATTGCAGGAACAAATACTGTCCATAATTATATAAATAATCAAGACCCTACCCTGCTACAAAAGGAAACCCTACAGTTCTGTGGAATATTAAAGTTGTGAACAAATAACCCATAAACCAGAGAATCAGAGAATTTAAAGAGCTTAAGGTATCATATAACTAGAAAATGAGAAATTGGGTTCCCATCAGTCAGATTTAACCCACAGAATGAATAATAGCATAACTGAGACAACTATAAAAAGCAATAAAAATTTTGTATTAGGGAGATGGTCAGAAATTTTGACTAGTAGACTATAAATGAATTGTAAATAGTATGTGTTATTTGAGAAAATTAAGAAGACTTAGTAATATAAATAAAAAATAAAGATAATTATAAGTCCATCAACATTCACAATTTTCCTTTCTTCTGTACACTCCCATTTTAAACAGCCGAGCTCACACTAACATTTGTAGTTTTGTGTCCTGCTTTTTTTAATTTACTACTTCAACCTAAATTTCTCTCCATATTTTAAAATTCAGTTCATAAGAATTACTTTATTGACTATGTGACTATGCCATAAACAATTCATCCATTCCCTTACTAATTCAATTTTAGTTTCAAATTCACGTACATAATAATATTAAAAATCTCTATGTTTAACCTTGTTATCTGAACCTCAGATGGCCTCCTTAGCATAGATATCTAGGCATTGCATTCATGGATAAAATTTGTGAACATTTTTATGCTTGACTACATTGTGTCAAGTGTACACCAGAGAAATCCCACCGGTAGTGCATAGGAGGACCTGCCTCTCCACTGTTACCTACTAACCAGTTTTTCCTCTCCTAAAACCTGGTAACTAAACCTTCTCTAAGAAAGCTCCCTGAGAAAGCAATGGAAAAGATGAATATTTGTTGCAACTCTTCTAACATAAATCACTGCTCTGCACAACTCGATGGGTGACCAGACCGTTAATAACTCTTTCAGGTCAGGATTTGAGCATCCTTCAACAAGGCTGTCACCATGGAGTGGGAACAGCATGTGACCACCTAATTTCCTGTGTTCTTTACAAAGCCTACCTTTCTTGTATTTTTTTCCCCATGACTCTTTCCCCCTGTTGCAATTTTGTATGTTCAGGCATTCGGTTTCCCCAGTGGCACCCAGCAAGGGCTTACTTAGGGTGCACCATTGCAAAACTTAAAAGACAAACCTCAAATAATTGATCTGGTTATATTCATGCACACAATTATACTACAAGGAACAGTGCACATGGAGGTTATCCGTGTGGCGATACTCTGGCTAAGGTCCAGCTGGTTTTCTCTTCTACTGTGAGGGCTTCTGGGAGAGCGTCACTCCACCATCTGTCTCCCAGTGTGCTTGGCGAATATAATTCACGTTAGAAAAGCCCTAAACCAGACATCGATGTGAGTACCCAAACGGTATGGATTTTACTGGCATTTTATTTGACGTGGACGGAGAGGGGCCTGGTGAGAGGAAGGGAAAGATGAAGAGGATGGACACAGCCAAAGCAAGAAAACAAGCCTTTAGCGCCCTCCCACATCCCTCCCATTGCCCTCTCCTCCCATATCCTAGAACTCTCTCCCAATTTCTAGAATAATTGTGATGAAAACATGTGACATGCAGCACCTCCAGTTCTTACTCAGCTTTGTTTAAGCAGTGTGAACATTTTGTGCATCCTTTTTGTTGTTGTTTCTTTTTTTAACGGGTTTCATATTTTTAAAGCATTTTTGGGTTTACTGAAAAACGCACAGCAAGTAAGAGAGCGCGCGTGCTTTCTTGTTCCTCACCTCCTCACTGGCTCTCACGGACCTTTGGAACGTCCTCGGCTGTGGCTGCTGACAGGAGCCCTTGAGGATGGCCATGCTCACAAAGAGGAAACAATGGTGGGAGAGAGGCAGCGACTCTGGCAGCTGCGGGACCCCGGTTCTCTTTCTCAGAGAGAGTGACCGGTAGTGTCAGCCACCCCAGGTGTGTGTCCAAAATTTAAATATTGGCCAGAAGTGAAGGGGAGATTTTCAAGGAGAGTTCATTCCCATGAAATTGAATCCAGTTATGGTGGCCAAGTCAGGGGATTTGCCCCAAGTGAACTACTTCAATTTCAGGTGGTGTGAGATCCCCAGGCAACATCCAGTAAACCTAAGGGCACATGGTTGTGCGTAAAACCCCAAGAACAGAAAACCCATGTATCAGTTCAGTCTCATGACTATGCTCAGATTTAAGGGGAGCGTCAGGATATTTTCAGAAAATATTGCTCCTTGTGCGATGTGGATCTAATGTGGTGAAACTTACTGAGTCTGGGTTTCTTTACCAAAGTTTGCTGAGCCTTCTGGTTTCATCAAACCCAGAGGACAAATGAAATGTAAAGGCAGACATGCCATGTCGATTCCAAATTCTGGCACCGCCAAAAAAGAGGATGAACAGTGGAATTTAGGGTGGCAAAGAAGAAGGCCACGAATCCAAGTTGGTGCCGAGGGAGGAGGGGAGGCCACATCTCTGATCTGCCCAGATATAACAAGAGCCTTGACCAAATGCTTTTCCAAGGCCAATATGCATTTGTCCTCTACTCACTAACTCAAGAAACCTGATCACAATAAGAAATAAGATTCTTTTTGACCTGATTTGTTTTGTTTTTTTAGTTCTATATTTATTTGTTTATTTTATTGTGGTATGACTGACATACAAAAAAGCCATACATATTGAATGGGCACACGTGATGAGCACAGAGATAAGAATTCACCTGCAGAACCGTCCCTACCGCCTGTGCCATAAACTTCTCCATCAGCTGCAAAAGTTTCCTCTGCCCTCCTTGTTTTTGGAAAACCCTCGGTGACTCAGTGAAACCCCCCCAGACACAACTTTCTTTCCTAAAGGCAAACAAAGTACTTTATAAATTTGTTGGTACTTTTTCTGGAAAGGTACATCAGCCTCATTCTTCTCTCATTTCTTCAAGTTCTACTTCACTCTGGCATTAGACTTCTTGGAATTTTTCTTAGAAGTTGTACAGTGTTCGCTTTGGGTTACGGGAGCTGCCTTTCGTCTGTTGCACTTGGTGTTTTAAAATCCGAGCTGATACGCAAGCCCTTTGTATCTGCCCATGTTTTTGTGAGTTTTGTGGACCTTTTCCTTTCATCAGATTTCCTGGTTATTACAGATCAGAATTGAATCATTAGCCCTCCTGAGCCATAAGACCTTTAATGTCTCAGAGCAAAGGATACTAATATTTTTGAGATTTTTTCTTAATGTACTTACACAGTCTATGGTACAAACCTCACCAGTCCTTTCAGTCCCTACCTTTGCCTCTAACTTCCTTCCTCACATTCCTAAGGCTTCTATGGTACCAATAAGTCAAAATTAAATCCTGGTATTGATTCTCCTTTTATTCACTTGTTCATTACAGTACCACTAAGTTATTGTTATGTCCTGGCAAAGATAACATTACGATTTGTCCTTTAAAGAGTTTACCCACCTGAAAGACCAATTTGTCATCAAGGACAATAAAAAATATTTCAGTTGTCCCAATACCAGTTGTTGAAAAAGTATTCTTTCTCCATTAAATTGCTTTGACACTCTAGCCAAAAGTCAATTGACCATATATGTAAGAGTTTATTTCTGGAGTCTCAATTGTGTTCCATGGATCTATGTCAATCCTGATGTCAGTACTTCACTGTCTTGATTGTACAAGTAAATGAATAAAGGTGAATCCCACCCAACACCATACACAAAAATTAATTCAAAACTGATCAAAGCCCTAACTGTATGAGCTAAACTGAACAATTCTTAGAAGAAAAGATAGAAGTAAATCTTTGTGACCTTGGGTCAAGCAATGGTTTCTCAGATATGACACCAAAACCCAACACCAAAACCAAATCAGCTAACTTGAAATTCATGAAATTTAAAACTTTAATGCCACAAAAGACACAATCAAGAAACTGAAAAGACAGCCCACAAAATGAGAGAAGGTGTTTGCAAATCATATATCTGATAAGGGACTGGTATCCTCAATACATAGAGAACTCTTACAAAACAACCATAAAAACATAAATAGCCCAATTTTTAAATGGGGAAATGATTCTGATGGAAATTTTTCCAAAGGAAATACGGAAGTGACCAGTAAGCATGTTAAAAGATGCCCATAATTACTAGTCGTTAGAGAAATGCAGATCAAAACCACAATGACATACCACTTGACCTAGGATAGTTATAATCAAAATGACAGACAATAACACACATTGGCAAAGATGAGGAAAACCTGGAACCCTTAGAGCTGGTGGGAACATACAATGGTACAGCCACTTTGGGAAACAGTCTGGCAATTCCTCAAAATTCTAAAGATAGAGATACCACAGATTCAGCAATTTTACTCCTAGGTATATACTCAAGAGAAATCAAGATGTATGTCCACACAAAGCCTCATACAAGAGTGTACATAACAGTATTACTTATAATAGCCAAAAAGTATAAACAATTTAAATGTCAATCCGCTGATAAACAGTTAAAGAGAATGTTATCTATCCATACAATGAAATATTATTTGAACTTAAAGACTAAGTTATTGATATATACCACAGCATAGATGGACCTTGAGAACATCAACGCTAAGTGAAAGAAGCAAGTCACAAAAGGCGACATATCATTTGATTCCATTTACATGAAATGTCCAAGATAGGCAAATCCATAGACAGAAGGTAGATTGGTGGTTGCCAAGATTAGGAGCAAGGGGAAATAAGGAATGACTGCTAATGTGTGCAGTGTCCTTTGGGGGTGATAGAAATGTTCTAAAATTGATTGTGATAAAGATTTCACAACTCCATAAATATACTAAAAACCATTGAATCATATGCTTTAAAAGGTGAATTTGATTGCATGTGAATTACATCTCAATAGAGCTAGCTATTTTTGAAAAAAGTATCAGGTTGCTTTCAGCAGATCAAGACTGCCAGCAGAAGTCCAAGTGCTTGAAGTCCTTTCTTTTTTCCATAGAGTATTTCCATGTTACTTTTATACTAAAGTATCACTCAATAAATAATCATTAAGCATCTATTATACACTAAGGTAGATGCTTCTAGAAATAAACAAGACAGACCCAAAGTTAACACCAGGTAGAACTTCCATTATAGATTAGAAAAGCATCAACTGTAGCCTCCATCCTGCCACACTCACACCTGTTCTCTTTCCCTATCTAGTTCAGTCCCTTGAACTCTAAACTGCCTCTCCAAGTGCACAAATACAATACTATTTCCAAATAATAGTTATAAGATATTTCTAAAGATTAGTTATTAAATGTAAATTAATAAATGTGACCTATCTTCATGGGCTTTTTTTTAACCATGCACAAGAGTGTTTCTATATGACAATATTCAATTCAGATCATGTTAAAATTCAATTACATGTAGTTGTCTCTCCTGAAAATCAATTTTATTGATTTGTTTTAGTCTCCCAAGCTTCCAATAACAATTTGTTGGGCACAAAGAGTAGTCATATAATTCATCCACATTCCTAATGAATTTGGAAATGTGGGCGTAGAACTCAGTCAATCATCTTTAATACACCAAGCTGTTTCAGCTGTGTCATCACTCATGTTAAGTCATCGGTTTAGGAGCATTCCTGTTGTGCCTTTCTATTGGTCTTCTTTGGCCACACCTGAATATCACTCCCTTGTTAAATCAGTCTATCAAAACAGAGAAAAGAATGCACATGGTGGACCAGGTCAGCACAAGACCCTAGGGACACAAAGGTAAGCAGAATACAGTTCCTCCCAGAAGTACACATAGTTTCGTGAGAGATATTAGTTTATCGGCTGTCAACCTGCACATCTTTGCACACTAGTTCTTTAACAGGGCTCCAGCTTTTTATCCAAATAAGTAATAGTTTATAATCAGTCTATGATATAGATATGTACTGGTCAATCCCTGATAAACATGTCTTTTTATGTGATAAATACACATTCTTGTAGATAATTTCTTATCATTGCATATTTATGAAGTTTTTCCCCTTCCAGAGAACAGGTGATTATTCATCTATAATTTCTTACAGGTTTTATTTTTAACTTTCTATTTGTAGTTCATCAAAAAATGTATTCTGGTCTTTGTTTGGGGTAGGCATCTAAATTGATTTTCCCCCTTAATACCAAGCCAGTGTTACCAGTACTTTTTGTTGAACTACCAACTCCTCCTTTGATCAGAATTGCTTCTCTTATCATCTAATTAGTTCTAATATATAAAAGGCAGAAAGATTGATAAAAGACAAATTATAATGCCAGCTTTATAGGACTATTTTAAGGGTTGAATGAAATAATCTATGTATATAATGACCTTCACATAATGTCCAGTACACGGAAGCTCTCAACAAAGATACTGGTCTCTTTAACCCAGTGGAGATCACGTTCTGTCCAATCTACACAGGCCTCACTGGGTAGAATGGATTGGAGTAGAAAAAGATAAGTGCTAGTTCTCTATGCTTCCTTCATTGGAGTAGATAAAAGGAATCCTCCAATTTCTCCTAACATTATCAATTTCTATAAATTTGCCAAAAATGGAATCACCTTTGTTATTATTTAATTTGCATTTCTTTGATTAACTATAAAATAAGAATCTATTCCTCTTTAATGGCATTTTTTTTCCATTAAATGTATCTTTGTATCATTACACTTTGAGTTATTTTTATGTTTCATAGATGCTTGTTGACATTATATATATAACTCTGTAGACTCTATAGTGTTTTTGTATCTAACTCTATAGGCTCTACCCATTGTGTTTTTTCCCATTTCCATTATTCAATCTTTAAATTTGATTGTTATTTCTTTCAGAGCATAATCATTTTTAATTTTTATTAAATTATCTGTCTTTTTCTTTACTACTTTTCTAGGAAAGCTCTTACATTTATAACTTTTATTTAGAAATAATTTCAAACTTGCAGAAAGTTGAATGTTACAAAGGACATCTATATACCTTTTACCCAGATTTACCCATCTCTAGCATTTTGTCTCATTTTCTTTATAATTCTCTCTATTTCTCTCCTCTCACACATATACATATGTACGCACATACAGATATCTCAAATAATTGGTGAATAAGTTGCATACATCATGTCCCTCTACCCCTAAATATTTTGTTAAATCTTTTCCAAGGAAAATGACGTTCTCTCATATACCCACAGCCCAAATATTAAAACCTGGAAATTTAACACTGATATAATTAGCCAATCCATATTTCAATTCCACCAATGTTCCCCAAAATGTCCTTTGTAGCATTTTTCGCAGTTCAGGACCCAATCCAGGATTACACGCTGCTCTTAAGAGTTGTGACTCCGTTGTCTTCTAATCTGGAGCAGTCCCTCTGTCTTTCTTTGACTTTCATGGAGTTGGCATTTTGAAAAGGGCAGGCCAGTTGTGTTATAAAATGTCTCTCAGTTAAAGCTGGTTTTCTTTTTTTTTTCTCAAGTTTCCTGATTATTAGATCCAAGTGAAACATTTATGGCAAGAACAATTCTTAAGCAATATTGTGTCCTTCTCAGGGTATCACATCAGCCATGATGTCCATTTGTCCCATTACTAGTAATTTTAACTTCGGTTGGGTGGTGTCCTCTAGGTTGATTCATTACATAAATGACTGAGGAAGACATTTGAGACTAAATATCCTTGTCCTCACCAAACATTTCCAATTTTGACACCCATTCATGAATCTTGCTTGGATCAATTATTACAGTAACTGTCTCAAAATAGTGATTTTCTCATCAGTGTTCCTTCTATACTTATTCATTGGTATTCTATGAAATCATTCTTAAAATCAGTAAACCATTGGAATAAAACCCTGATTGAACATAGCTTATCATCATTTTTTTTTAACCTCTCACCCAAAATTTTTTTAAGAGAAGGATTTCATTTGGGAGGGCACTGGCTCTGTTCACAGAAAATAAGGGTGTCCCAGTGATTATGGGACTGGTCTGCACTAGTTAGTTGGTCATAGTGTGGTGCACTTGAGCCCGTGTTTAGTAGTTTCAGTTTCCAAATAAGTTTATTAACAGGCACTCGCGTTCCTCACTCATTACACCAAGAGAAGCCAGTAAGACAAAAGAGCTGATGCAAACTCCTGCCACTACTGGAAAAGCAGCTCGAAAGACAAGCCTTGATGACTAAGGTACGAAGATACCACATTAGAATATGAATGAGTACAAATTACTGGTGATTTTGCCTGGCTGCGTTTCTCCTAAGCATCTTTCTGCTAGGAGAAAGAGAAAGAAAAAAATGCTTGTGAATGCCAAGGTTCCCTCCATGCTCCATTAGATTTAATTTTCAGAACACAAGTGTACAATCAAAATCAGCAAATTTTTCTTTCAATTTCCATGTGGTCCAACACTGTGCTTATTCATGAAAGTTCACAGAACAAAACAGATTCTGGTTTTGAGTAATAAGTAATTTGGAAAACCTGGTCCTTCTGTGTCATTGACAGTACAGCCAAGCAGAAAGGACAGATGATGAAAAATTCAGGACCCTCTCACTTTGGGAAGTCTCAACAGGTCTCCACAAACAGTTTGGTTTTTTAATGAGTTGTCTCCTTCAAAAACAGAGTGTCAGTTACTACAGATTTTATAATTGCTTTTGGGGACACAAAAAAACATGTGCTCCTGCAAACCAGTTCATCTTCCTACCAAAATTATGTTCAAACAAAAGGATCTTCAGTGCCTCTTCTTTCAACAGTGAGTTTCTTAGTTATATCAAAATATTTTTTAAAAACATATTTTTTTGCCACTTCAACATCACTTTTCAAATAGCTTTTGGAAACAAAATGCTTTGAAATATGGATTTCCAAGTCAGACTTTAGATGAATTCTTTAAAAAATGGAAATTTAAAGCCAAAGTTTGACCTAGAGTTAAGCTTTGAGGAAATTAAAACACAGTAACTCAAACAAATTTAAAAATCATCAATAGTTGTGGTTGATATATTGCAGTCTCTGGAGGTCCTCCAAGGAATTGAGAGGGAAGCAGATGGGTAAATCTTAAACTTCACTTAAAGGTTTACCTTTAAGAGTAAATTTTTATTTTGTAGATGAAAATAAACCTGAACCTCCATGTTTCTCTTGTGATAAAAATCCTCTCATAAGGTACACAAATGTTCCTTAAATGCATAAAACCACAAGTCTTACAAAGTCATTTAAAATCCAGCCATCACATTTTGAAAGGAAGTCTTCAGAATCTTTCTAATTGACTTGCAGATAGAAAGAAATACAATAAAAATATCATCAAATAAGCAATAGAAGACTGCATGAAAATTCCCTCGAGGTCAGTTCCAAAATCAATTGGGAGGTGAAACTCATATATGTAATAGAAAAAAACCATGGAAGACCCTGCAGGGAAGATAGGATGAAATCCACGTGAGAGTCTAAAAGGAGCTGCAAGAGTGTTTCCATCAAAGAACACATTTGAATGTGCTCAGTAAATAAAAAACTGATCTAGCGGCTAAGGTAAGCCCAGTTTTTTAACTTACAGCTTGATGACACATAAATGGGCCATTTTATTGGATTTTGTTCTTCAGTTAGGGACTGAGAATGTAAGTAAAGGCATTAGTTTGAAGAATTTTTCAAGAAGACATGAGTTTAGTGATCGGGGTATCAACTTAAAATATTATGCAGCAGAGAAAAAATGGAATTGAGCCCACCGCATGGAAAAGTAGAATCATAGTCTCTGTCAGTGATTCCAGACTGAACCAGTGGCCTCTCTGAGGGCCCTAACACACCTCACCTCACAGGCTTTCTCTCCAGAGGTGATATACAGGGTGGAAATTGTTGAAGAATTCAATCCATTCTCATTCAGCCAGTATTTTCTTTATCTAAGCCTATTTCATAGTCCAAAAATTTCAAAGGCCATAAAAGTTTAGACCTACAAAGATATTGCAGAGAAAAAATAATCTCCCTTCAGCCATATATGTGTATTTCCCACAGATCTGTGCAGATGTCTATAATGTTCCTCTTGTAGATATATTCCTTTGGCCATGGAGATTCAGGAGTTGGGAGAGTGCACCCAAAGGTCAGGGTGGGAGGCTGCCAAAGTTATGAATACACCACTACAGGTGGAGTCACACAAACTGATCTCTACAATCCCAACTCTGGCCAACAAGAAGATCATTACAACCATGAGAGTATCTGGATGAACATGTTTTCAAAAGGATTAAAACTATGCCTCTGCTCAATTATCTAAAATTAAGGGGTTGGGCAAAGTGGATTCTCGGCTCTGACATTCTGTAATTTCAGACTTTGTGTGCGGTGTAGTAGGGAGCCAAATCTGTGCACACAAGAACTGAATGGGAGGACAACTGGATTAACGTGCTCATACCAAGATGTCACAGCTGGAAGACCTCATTAAAGGCCATATTCATGATTCAACCTTCTTGCACACCCCCAACAACAAGAGCTTAACTTTTTCAAATTCATCTAATAAGCATGTGCTGAATGCTTACTATATACCAGCCATTTACATTACAAGGAGCTCCTTTTACTCCTGAGACCAATTTTTCAGGCTCAGGAAGGTTAAGGGGCACACTGCAAACATATCCTGACTCATAAAAAAGCAAGAAGACGATGGAATTTGCTGTTGCTATTGTTATTATTGTTGCCATTGTTCTTATTTCTCAGTCATCCTCATTTTGAAAATTATCCAGAAGCCAGAACTTACACCACCTGATCTGTAGACACACCCTTAGACGTAGCACAGTGTTGTTCACAATAGCAACCCTTCAGCAAACTTTTTCATACTGAGCTTCAAGAATCATTTGCATCTACCATGGAGATAATCTCTTTAATCTCAAACAGCCCTGATCTTGAGAGGACAGGAAGGGGTGAAAACCAGAATCTGAGAGTAGGTAGGCACACTTTATCGAAGCCTTTCATCTCCACCTCCCAAACCCACACAGCAGCTCCTGGGGACACCAGCCTAGGACTCCACCAGGCAATACTCATCTCCTTCATCAGCACTGTCTAAGACTATCCCAAACTCCCAACATTCGGGCCCTAACCAAAAACTGCTTTTCCTTCATTTTCTTTGAAGTGGAAGGTGTGTCAACTAGCTGGTCTGTTAAGTGAGTTCCAAGTGGAGCTTTTCCTATAATGTATGTGACCTTCTCTCCATACCCCTGGCTGGATGGACAACATTAACGTATCAATGGAGAGTGTTTTCAAACCTGTGAAAGAGGGTGTCAAGGCTTTGGCAAACTTGTAAGCAAAGGCTGGAGGTAAGCAACCCCTGAGTCTCTTGAACTAAAATATACAATTGAGTCCTTTATCTATGTAGTCCAAAAGGACGTCTTCAGTCTTACCCGGTAGAATATAAGGAATAAAGAGAAAAAAAATGTGAACTCAAATCCCACTGGACTTAAGAACCATGAGGTTCTTAAGTATTCATTACAATTGTACTGTTCCCAAGATCTCAAAAACAACCTTTTAAATCAATGTAAATTATGTGATCGTGTGGTCACCACACCCTGAGGAATGGCACCATGCCTAAATCACACTGGCGTGGTATTCTCAAGCTGTACTCCCACAATGCCCTGGGTAACACAGTTTTGATCAAAATGTTCCTTGCCTACACTAAATAACTGCATTTTCCCAGTTCACACAAATGAAATATTAATAGGTTTGATTGTTTCGGTCTGAATACTTTTTTTCAATTTTTGGCATTTATTGCTAGTGATTTATACTAGAAATAGGTTGTAACTTCTGGGGGGTGGGGGAGGACGGGGGAATATTTTCCCAGCCTGGGTCAAAATACCTTTGAAACCGAAATCAGTCAAAGGGAGAGATAAAGTGGGAGAAACCCATTTATTGCTTACAAGCAGTCATCCACTTCTGCTCCCCGTATCTTTTGTGACCCGGCTACAAAAAGGGACTCCACCCAACTTCTCGCTGGTCCAGATATGCCCTGTTCCCCCTTGTAATCACCTACTGATATGGAGACAGGCTACTTCCCTCCACCCCTTGGAAACACTTATTGATACGGAGACACACTAAGGCCAGGGAGAGAGTCTGGACATATTGCAATTTTACTCACATAGGTATAAAATGACATTTAATTTAAAAGAATGGAAAAAGCAAACTTAATCAATACTTGATGAATGTTTACTCTCAGCAGGCACTAAACAAGATATTGTGTTAGTTTATCTCATTTAACACTCAATAAGAGATAGGAAATATTATCTCTATGTTACAGATTAGGAAATAGAAACTCAAGAGAGGTTCAGTGACTTACTTGTCCAAGGTCTTTAATGAGCATGACTGGAAAAGATGCCTTTCTCTGAACTCTGAAATTTGTGCTGCCTCAAAAACTATGTAACTGTATTTTGCATCCAAAAAAAAAAATGCTCTTTGATTTTAATAGTGAAAACTGTACAGTGTTGTGGGTAAAGTTGCAGAATTTCCAGAATCTCTCACGTGGCCTTAGTGCGTCTCCATATCAATGGGTTTTCCCAAGGGGTGGAGAGAAGTAGCTCATCTCCATATCAATAGGTGATTACAATGGGGAGCAGGGCATATCCTGACTGGAGAGGCTGGGTGGGGTTCCTTTTTGCATCCGAGTCACAAGAGACACGAATGAGCAGCAGTGGACGACTGTGTGTGGGCAATAAACAGGATTCTCCCACTTTATTTCTCCCTTTGACTGATTTTGGTTTTAAAGGTATTTTGCCCCGGGCTGGGAACTTACCTTCCCCCAGAGTTACAAGTGGTGCAGCCCTGAAGAACTTTGAAAACCACAGATTCACCCTGTATCTTTGGCATTTTCCCCTCGGTCCTTGTGAGATGGTCAGAAATTGCTAACCAACTTGTTGACTAGAATTTTATAAAAGCTTCAGGGATTTAAGCTTAAAGATCTCAGGATCAGAAAGGCAAGAGAAATTTAAAGGACGTGAGGGAACACTCTCAATCTGTTTATGTACATGACTTCATTATTATCAACAACACAGACTGAACTCTCCCAAGTCCTTAGGGTTTGGCAAACCCCAGCCACCACCCCTGGCAGACCCCTGCATCTTTGGGCTGTCCCCTGCAGGCTACAATTCTGTAGGGAAGACTCGAGTCTGTAGTACCCATGATTCTGAAAAATGATTGTTCTCTCTCAGCCTTGCAGTATACGCCTAAGTATGAACTCTATTTCTTAAAACAAAAATAATTTATGTGGAAGGACCTGGCACTTAGTAGCTAACTAGTAAGTGTTTATTAAATATAACCTGGACTTCTGAGCTGCTCTGAATCTACTGCCTCCATTAGCTTTACCAGCTTGTTTTCCCCCTCTAACTCCCCTCCTATTTAAAAAGACTTCTAATTATTGCCCTTCTGTGGACATACCTGACTTAATTACACACTTGACCCTGTAAATCCCTGAGGGACTGCCTGAGCCGATGAGGGTGATGTGTGAACATAATCTGTGAGAAACTGATAAGTACTTACTGACTGATCGTGTTGACTGACATAACTTGACACCAGACATTGAAGGCCACCCTTTGAAGGTAAGATGTATTTTGAAAGCAATTTCTGTCTTTCAACAGTATTGTTTTGTTTGACGTCTAGCAAGTTGAGTAGAGAAATATTATTCATGCCAGGACAAGAAATGGAAGCCAGCCCCAAATCCAAGGGAAGGAGGATTCTTCCCCATTCAAAGGCTGAGACCCAGAAGTTTGGGGAGAAGGGTAAGTTCGGATCTGGCTATCCTGCGGCATCCCATAGAAAAAATGTCTGTGAATGTATATAAATTAGCAAACAAACAACAATGGCTACAAAATCGTGGTGTGACTGAAGAGTACAGACCTGTCCTCACAACTGCGAAGGGTCTTGGAACAAAGATTCCTCCCACCTTATCCCCAAAACACTATCACACCAGCAGTGGTGGCTGAAGCCTCAAGCCACCAGAGTTTTACTTAGTGGACAAGGATGACCTCCTGCCACAGGGTAACCTGGCCAGTGCTTTACATACACCCAGGTCACCTAGATCAGTTGATGATGGATAGGTTAAGGGGCACACTGCAAACATATCCTGACTCATAAAAAAGCAAGAAGACGATGGAATTTGCTGTTGCTATTGTTATTATTGTTGCCATTGTTCTTATTTCTCAGTCATCCTCATTTTGAAAATTATCCAGAAGCCAGAACTTACACCACCTGATCTGTAGACACACCCTTAGACGTAGCACAGTGTTGTTCACAATAGTAACCCTTCAGCAAACTTTTTCATACTGAGCTTCAAGAATCATTTGCATCTACCATGGAGATAATCTCTTTAATCTCAAACAGCCCTGATCTTGAGAGGACAGGAAGGGGTGAAAACCAGAATCTGAGAGTAGGTAGGCACACTTTATCGAAGCCTTTCATCTCCACCTCCCAAACCCACACAGCAGCTCCTGGGGACACCAGCCTAGGACTCCACCAGGCAATACTCATCTCCTTCATCAGCACTGTCTAAGACTATCCCAAACTCCCAACATTCGGGCCCTAACCAAAAACTGCTTTTCCTTCATTTTCTTTGAAGTGGAAGGTGTGTCAACTAGCTGGTCTGTTAAGTGAGTTCCAAGTGGAGCTTTTCCTATAATGTATGTGACCTTCTCTCCATACCCCTGGCTGGATGGACAACATTAACGTATCAATGGAGAGTGTTTTCAAACCTGTGAAAGAGGGTGTCAAGGCTTTGGCAAACTTGTAAGCAAAGGCTGGAGGTAAGCAACCCCTGAGTCTCTTGAACTAAAATATACAATTGAGTCCTTTATCTATGTAGTCCAAAAGGACGTCTTCAGTCTTACCCGGTAGAATATAAGGAATAAAGAGAAAAAAAATGTGAACTCAAATCCCACTGGACTTAAGAACCATGAGGTTCTTAAGTATTCATTACAATTGTACTGTTCCCAAGATCTCAAAAACAACCTTTTAAATCAATGTAAATTATGTGATCGTGTGGTCACCACACCCTGAGGAATGGCACCATGCCTAAATCACACTGGCGTGGTATTCTCAAGCTGTACTCCCACAATGCCCTGGGTAACACAGTTTTGATCAAAATGTTCCTTGCCTACACTAAATAACTGCATTTTCCCAGTTCACACAAATGAAATATTAATAGGTTTGATTGTTTCGGTCTGAATACTTTTTTTCAATTTTTGGCATTTATTGCTAGTGATTTATACTAGAAATAGGTTGTAACTTCTGGGGGGTGGGGGAGGACGGGGGAATATTTTCCCAGCCTGGGTCAAAATACCTTTGAAACCGAAATCAGTCAAAGGGAGAGATAAAGTGGGAGAAACCCATTTATTGCTTACAAGCAGTCATCCACTTCTGCTCCCCGTATCTTTTGTGACCCGGCTACAAAAAGGGACTCCACCCAACTTCTCGCTGGTCCAGATATGCCCTGTTCCCCCTTGTAATCACCTACTGATATGGAGACAGGCTACTTCCCTCCACCCCTTGGAAACACTTATTGATACGGAGACACACTAAGGCCAGGGAGAGAGTCTGGACATATTGCAATTTTACTCACATAGGTATAAAATGACATTTAATTTAAAAGAATGGAAAAAGCAAACTTAATCAATACTTGATGAATGTTTACTCTCAGCAGGCACTAAACAAGATATTGTGTTAGTTTATCTCATTTAACACTCAATAAGAGATAGGAAATATTATCTCTATGTTACAGATTAGGAAATAGAAACTCAAGAGAGGTTCAGTGACTTACTTGTCCAAGGTCTTTAATGAGCATGACTGGAAAAGATGCCTTTCTCTGAACTCTGAAATTTGTGCTGCCTCAAAAACTATGTAACTGTATTTTGCATCCAAAAAAAAAAATGCTCTTTGATTTTAATAGTGAAAACTGTACAGTGTTGTGGGTAAAGTTGCAGAATTTCCAGAATCTCTCACGTGGCCTTAGTGCGTCTCCATATCAATGGGTTTTCCCAAGGGGTGGAGAGAAGTAGCTCATCTCCATATCAATAGGTGATTACAATGGGGAGCAGGGCATATCCTGACTGGAGAGGCTGGGTGGGGTTCCTTTTTGCATCCGAGTCACAAGAGACACGAATGAGCAGCAGTGGACGACTGTGTGTGGGCAATAAACAGGATTCTCCCACTTTATTTCTCCCTTTGACTGATTTTGGTTTTAAAGGTATTTTGCCCCGGGCTGGGAACTTACCTTCCCCCAGAGTTACAAGTGGTGCAGCCCTGAAGAACTTTGAAAACCACAGATTCACCCTGTATCTTTGGCATTTTCCCCTCGGTCCTTGTGAGATGGTCAGAAATTGCTAACCAACTTGTTGACTAGAATTTTATAAAAGCTTCAGGGATTTAAGCTTAAAGATCTCAGGATCAGAAAGGCAAGAGAAATTTAAAGGACGTGAGGGAACACTCTCAATCTGTTTATGTACATGACTTCATTATTATCAACAACACAGACTGAACTCTCCCAAGTCCTTAGGGTTTGGCAAACCCCAGCCACCACCCCTGGCAGACCCCTGCATCTTTGGGCTGTCCCCTGCAGGCTACAATTCTGTAGGGAAGACTCGAGTCTGTAGTACCCATGATTCTGAAAAATGATTGTTCTCTCTCAGCCTTGCAGTATACGCCTAAGTATGAACTCTATTTCTTAAAACAAAAATAATTTATGTGGAAGGACCTGGCACTTAGTAGCTAACTAGTAAGTGTTTATTAAATATAACCTGGACTTCTGAGCTGCTCTGAATCTACTGCCTCCATTAGCTTTACCAGCTTGTTTTCCCCCTCTAACTCCCCTCCTATTTAAAAAGACTTCTAATTATTGCCCTTCTGTGGACATACCTGACTTAATTACACACTTGACCCTGTAAATCCCTGAGGGACTGCCTGAGCCGATGAGGGTGATGTGTGAACATAATCTGTGAGAAACTGATAAGTACTTACTGACTGATCGTGTTGACTGACATAACTTGACACCAGACATTGAAGGCCACCCTTTGAAGGTAAGATGTATTTTGAAAGCAATTTCTGTCTTTCAACAGTATTGTTTTGTTTGACGTCTAGCAAGTTGAGTAGAGAAATATTATTCATGCCAGGACAAGAAATGGAAGCCAGCCCCAAATCCAAGGGAAGGAGGATTCTTCCCCATTCAAAGGCTGAGACCCAGAAGTTTGGGGAGAAGGGTAAGTTCGGATCTGGCTATCCTGCGGCATCCCATAGAAAAAATGTCTGTGAATGTATATAAATTAGCAAACAAACAACAATGGCTACAAAATCGTGGTGTGACTGAAGAGTACAGACCTGTCCTCACAACTGCGAAGGGTCTTGGAACAAAGATTCCTCCCACCTTATCCCCAAAACACTATCACACCAGCAGTGGTGGCTGAAGCCTCAAGCCACCAGAGTTTTACTTAGTGGACAAGGATGACCTCCTGCCACAGGGTAACCTGGCCAGTGCTTTACATACACCCAGGTCACCTAGATCAGTTGATGATGGATTAAGTGTAGACTGCCAGCACGCTTGTGTTTCACGAGGGACAGTGAACCTGGTGGTAGAATGAGACTCCGCCACATACATAGATGACTTTTTCATGTTCTTTCCTCAATCGTATAGTAACCAGCAATGATTCCTTGGAGCAAGGAACCATCTGCAGGGTTTTAAATTATGGGAAGGAGTTCCTGAAGAAGGGAAAAGGACATTCATCTAGTAAGCGAGATAATTAATGACAGTCATTTACGTTGGATAGAGTAAAAAAAGAGGTAACCTAATTCTGTGCCCCAAATTGTTAAACAAGACAAAAGTTTTTAAATGACAAATTATTTCATCTTTCAATTGCATAAATATATTTTCACTAATTTGGACTCCCCCTCTCACCCAAGCCATCCTCCCCTCCCTGCACTTTACCAGCTGTTTCCTCTTAGGAAAGAATATTCCAATATGCAATTGTGTATTGATTGCAGTGCTGACGTTGGGGCCAGTAGAAAACTGTCAGCACATCAAATTCAGCACATCCAAGACGGAATACAATCTATTTCCTCCAAACTGGCTCCTCTCCCATGTACCGTGCAGAGTATGCTCACTCTCTGTTCATTTATTTAAGTGTAAAACCTTGAAGGTGTTGAGGATTTCCTCTTCTGTTTGGCCCCTACCTTCACTTGGGCATCCAGAGTCTTTGCTTCCACCTGCCAAGCTTCTCTGCATCCTCTCCCTTATCCTCGGGTCCTTCACTGCCCTAGTTTAGGCCCTCATCATCTTTATTCCGATTATTATCCAACCTCCAATCAACTTCACTGTCCCCTCCTGAGCCCCCTTATTTCAGTCTGTCTCCCCATCTCCCTCTGCATGTTCATCGACAGAAGCAGACCTGCTCCACCCCAGCCAGCTGTAGGCGATCCCCGTGCGCGGCTGTCGAGGCCCCCTCCCACCCAGGGCCACCTCACCTGTCGCCTCATTCTCCACCCTCCCATGCACGGCACACTCCAGCCACTTCTCTGCTCTCCAGACACACCTTGCCCTTTCCTTGTTCTTGCTTCCCTCTGCCAGAAATAGCTCTGGCCCCACCTTTATCCTGCCTGAGAGATCCTCCTCTCCTCCAGGGCTGGGAGGCAGCATCACTTCAGCAGGATTGTCCCAGCCTGGGAACTTTTGTCCCATGCTTCCTCCACAATTAGGGCATTCTGTCACCACAGAGCCTGCAGTGTGGGTGAGGCGTGCCCTCCCCACGGGCAGGGAGGGCCTCACCAAAGGAGGAGGGCATTCACGGCATAACTCTCTGAGGAACAGCTAGAGCCTCACACGGGAAAGCAGAGCTGAGGAAGAAGACATTGGTCTGGACAACGGAGGTCCACAGGGGCTAAGAGAGCCCTCTGATGGTGGGCCGGGCAGGGAGTACCCCTCACAGAGGAAACAAGGTGCCATGCGGAAGCACCAACCCCGTGGGGCTCACACGGCCTCTCATGTGGGATGCTTGCAAATTACAGCCGAGTCACGTGGTACTTCACAATACTTACTCCTGAGCCCCACCTTAGATAATAAATCAGAACCTATAGGGATAAGACCCCAGAATCTGCATTTTTCTCAGGAGATTCAGATGGACGCAATACTTCTAGAATTCCTAGAGTGAGCAGTAAGGCATCTCACAACAGCATGTGAAGTGGGACAAGCCCACCACACCCAGCCTTCCAGCCGGGATTCCACCCAGGAAACCCATTCCCTGACATAAAGGAGACTCATTCTTTTCATCAATGAGTTCCGATAATGCCCACATGGTACTGGAATCTAGGGAACAACGTAGGACGGCAATTAATTGGTATGTCAGGCTGAAAGTTAAGGCAGGGATGGGGTTGAGGAAGAAACAAGGAGAAATTAGCAAAAGTCAAAGAGGTAAAGTGGGGATCAAGGTACTCGTCCCCACCTGACAGGGTTTTTGTGCTGCAGATAAACGCAGTGGTGATAGGTAGCAGCTGGCACGTGCCTGGGACACAGCAGATTCTCAGCAGATGTCAACTGCCCAGTACTCTTTCCACGGAGTTTTCCTTTCCTGTGCATTTTACTGAGTCTGGAGAAGGTTCTGAAGAAGCTCAGCCAGGAGGCCCACCGTCCCCAGCCCACCCTCTGGTGCTGAGTTCACTGGTCCCTCGTGGAGGTGGAGGCTCCCGCAGCTGGGGCTGCTCTGGGGTGCAGCACTGCTCCTGCTCCCTAAGGCCCAGGGCTGCTGGCCTCTGAAAGCCACTCCCAAATATTCTGTTCTTCCCACCCTGAACTGTGCAAGTAAATAAGAGTAACACAGAGTACAGACGAGGTCCAGAAAGACTGAAAGCGAAAAAGCTGTGAAATGCAGGATGGATGTACAGAGACAAAGGCAGTGGTGTTCGTCACAGAATGAGCCTGGGGACTGTCTTCCAGCTTTCCTCAATGTCAAGCAGCTCACATATCACAGGAGGGGAGTCAGTCAGTTCTCAGTCCCCTCCTGGTGTGCAGTACTTGCTGGCTGGGGCTCCCTTTAGCCCGGCACAGGGTGACCTGTAGTTCTTTGTAGGTGGCACAAGAGTTTCTCCCAGCATCACAGTGTTAGGCTAAGTGCCGCAAAGACAAAATGTCCAGCCTGAACTCATCTTCTCTCCTAAATTTGCTCCTTCTCTATTACTGCCTCTTCTGGTTAATGGCATCACCATTTGGCTACTGACCCAACCAGAAACCTGAATAACTGTCCACTCTCCTCTTCCTCTTTCTTTTCTATCCAAAACATCCTCTCAGTGTTAACTCTTACTTAAACGCACGGTTCTTCTCTCCTCCCTACCCCCACTGTCACTGTCAGCGGCTCAGCCTTTCTCACCTGGGGCACTGCCCTGAGCTCCTGGTTATATTTCCTCCTTCTAAGCTTTCTCTCTTCTGATGCATTAGCCACAGTATGGTGTTAGTGATGCCTAAGAAACAAGATGATCATACCCATCTCCTATTTAAAAATCTCGACTATTTTCTCCACTGTTTTTTTGCATTGCTGTCCAGGGGAAGATGCATAAGATGATCTTTGTATTATACATCTGGCATTACAGAATACTGGGTACTCTGGAGGTCCCTGCCTCTGTAAAACAGCTTGCTCCCATAACGCATACTGTTTAATGCATTGCTGGGCTCCCATGATGTAAAAGCACTGTTCAAGAACAGCATTGTCCAAAGGAAATGCTTGCAGTGATGATGACGTTCTGTATCTCTGCTGTCCAGTAGAGTTGCCATTAGCTACACATGGCTATTGATCACTGGAAATGTAGCTAATGTGACTGAGAAACCATATTTTTCATTTTATTTAATTATACTAACTACATATAGCTAGTGGTTATCATACTAGACAGTACAGTTCCAGGATCTTTAAAAAAACAAAAAACAAAACCGTATGAACTGAAATCTGAGCTTTAAAGGGTAAGCAAGCTCAAAAGGTGGGAAAGCTGATCCCTGAATCCCACATTAATGTCTGGACTCTGAAAGGATGCTACGTCAGTTATAGATCAGTAGCACCCCCTGGCTGTCAAAAAAGGAAAATGCGAATCACTTGAGAATAAATGTCTTCGGTATTCCAACAGATTAATTTCAACCAACTACAATTTTACAACAAAATATCACCAACGTAGAAAGAAATAAGCCACCATAAAAGAAAGTCAGAAGAAACAAAAACAACAGATTTGGAACCCAAGATTTTCGGCTTTGGGATTATATACAAAATATAAAATAAAATAACCATGTGTGAAACTTTTTTTAAGTTAGAGTCCCAAAAATGAACAAGTAGTAAAACCATCATATATGACCAGGAATATTTGAATAAGGAACCAAACAGAAATTTAGAGATGAGATACACAAGTATTGAAATTAAAATTGAATAGAGAGGTAAACAAACTAGACTCAGCTGAAGAAAGAATTAGTAAGATAAAAAGATAGATATGAAAAAGTAACCAAAAATGAAGTATGAATATGGAAATAGAAAATATCAAAGGAAGATTAATAGACATGGAAGACAGAATAAGAAGTTATATGTCTATTTTGAGTCCCAGAAGCAGAAAATACAGAAAATGGATGAGTAAATTTGAAGAGACAGTGGCTGAGAAATTCCCAGAACAGACAAAATACATGAATCCATAGATTCTAAAAGCACATCCTTATTAACAGAACCAGACCCAAGCAAAATTACAAAATAGGTTTTCTTCTCTGCCCCACTAATTCTTGGAAATACTTTTCTCATTTTCAGTGATCCCCTGTCAAGATTCCAGATGCACAGCTTCCCCACATCGCCCCCAGCCTATGCAAGCTTATTATACACACACCCTCTACCAAACCAACACCTTCAAGATATCAGAGAATGATAATGAAATGATCAGATAAACCAGAGTGTGCTTATGTATTTTCTACTAAAATGGTTACCTCTCCCATTAGATAATGCTTTAAAATGATTTTACACTACAGATGTCCCTTAAATTATTGGAATTCAAGGCACAGCTCCAGAAAGAGATTTGGAAGAGAAAGAACCTCTGAGTGCCCTCAGTTCACCTCAGTTGAGCTGGGTTGTTCCTGAGATAGATGAGTACCTAACTCGCACATACGTAAGATTAGCCCCCAAATGTGGTGGAACCTCTGTGATCAAAGAGAACTGACTGCATATTTGTTATCAAAATGAGGGTGGGGGTCTCTCAAAGCACCCCCAGCTTGTACATCGCATATATTACCCACATCTAAGGCAACCAACTTACAGCATTCCTCTAGCCACAATTACTGGTTCACAAGGGAATTCATCTATTCAACAAATATTTACTGAGCATTTACTATGTATCAGGCATTGTTGCAGGCACTGGAGATACAGCAAACAACAAAATGGACAAGATCTCTGTCCTCATGCCTCCTACACTATGGTGAGACTATAAATAAATATTTATTACACACTTTTCTTTATAAATTTCTCCTCATACAAGAATATTTGTGTGTATACATATACATATTCATTTGTTTGTTTATACATACATGTGTATGGCTGCAATGTGGAGAATAATGGAGGGAAAAAAAGACAGGAGGCAGTTTGGAGTCTGTTCCATCACCCAGAGTTGCAGTTGGGATCAGGATGGTATCAGCAGAGAAGAGGGTGCATTTGAGAGATGTTAGGATGTGATGATTGGCTGTGTGAGGGGAAGGGAAGCCGTTGGGGGAAATGGTGAGTCCAGTTTGGACCACTGCGTGGATGGTGTGATCAGAACAAACGGACGGGAAAAAAAGGAGCTGGTGGATTCAGCTCGGGGTGTCTGTATCACACGTAGGTGTCCATAGGGAAGTTGGATATGCGGCTGGAACTCAGCTGGGAGCCCTGGGAGGTAAAGATTTGAGAGCAGTCAACACAGAGCTCTAACCGAAGCCAAGGAATTGTATCAACACCAAAAGCAGGCCCAAAACAGAACTTCAAAAAATGTGAACATTTCCGGGCAGACAGAGGGAGAGTTGCAGAGTATTGTATCTGGAGGCAAGGGTAGAAAGCACCTCAAGAATGTCCCCAGAAAAGCTGGAGGTCTAATGCATCGCCAGTTTCCGTGTCTTAAAGAAAAGCTATTTCATAACTGACAGTCGGAGGCCCAGAATAGCGCAGTTATAGTGGGACGAGCAGCGCCATCTAGTGCAATACAAGATGAACAGCAGAGAGAAGACCAGTTTTCTTGATCACGTTGAGTTGGAGTTGGAATGAGGCTCTAGAATAATATTTCACAGAAGAAGCGTAGCCCCCAGGAGCTCACTTTGATTTCCCCACAAGTCATGCAAGTTCTCCAGTACCGGTAGCCTCCTTACATTGTACCATTTACATCACAGGAAGCACTCAGACCTGGACTGCAACCCTGGGTGTCCCAGTTCCGTGGAACCTCCACAAGTTTGGGTCAAATCCCCATTCCCCACCCTGCAGAATGGTCACTGCCTTCCTGAGGGGAGTGTGAATTCCCAGACACCCCTCATTCCAGAATCTTCCTCCAGAGAATTCCCATCAGCACCTCTACTTCTTATGACTGTTTCTTCATCTCAGCCTTGGCATCATCCCAAACGTGAAAACGAACCCTGGTATGGTGCCAGCGTTGAGATAACCACCAAACCAGGCAGCCTCACACTATCGAGCATGAAGTACCTCACCTGAACCAACGTGGAGACGAAGGAGGACTAGACATTAAAAAGCCCTTGTCTTGACAGCATTTTGACGATCCTGTTGTATTACATGGGTTTCCCTTCTCAGCCCTTCTCTTCCCTGACACTTTAAAAGGGGACAATTCTTTTCATATTGTCTTTTATGCAGAATGTGACCCTAAAAATTAATCTTACAAACCAGAATACTTTTGAAAAGAAGGCACCAAAAGCAATTAAAGCTATAGATAGATATATAGACATAGGCATAGATATATGAAGTCTTCACTTGACCGTCAAACTGGTTTATTTTATTTAAACGATTTACAATAATTCTTTACAAAAACCATTTTCATAAATAAAATTACTTTAAAATAGTATGTATCTGTGCACAGTAAGCAGAATGTGAAAAAGAAAAACTTCCTTGATCACCTGAGCATTAAAAAAATAACATAAACATAAGCAGAATAATTACCACATGGTTTAAACAGTATTTTAGACATACTCATCTCCAAATTTGTGTTACTAGTATTTTTCTGAAGAATGCAGTTTTTCAGTATGGTTGGTTATTTTTGATGCTTTTATAAAACTGTCAGAAATCTTCTTCAAAGTTGCACTTAGTGTTAAGAAAATTGAAAGTATTGAGAAAATAGTATCTCTGCAGATGCCGAAGTACTTGGTAAGCTCAGAGCAAATTCTGCTGTGTGAAGGGTATTTTCAATTCAAACGTTCTGTACCTCACTACTTAAATAATCCAGCTCTAATAGCATCACAGAGACAGTCTCTTTCCCTCTGTTCAGAGCGCATTTACTCAACCAGCCAGAACTTGTCAAATAAGTTACCTCTATTTATAATTCTTTTGAACATCTCACCACAGTTAGATTAAGGAAAATGGAAGGCCTCAGTCTAACTCTACTTAGGTTAGAAATACAAATGTACTAAATTAAAAAAACAAGTTCTAACAAAAGAATCTTCCCCCAAGTTGATATAATTCTAAAGTATTAGTTTACAGAATTTCAAAATTAAATCTGTACACATGTGAGCAACTCTTGTTCTTAAATGTATCCAGTTACCCTCGTCCTTTTTCAATAATTAATTTAAATGTCTTTCTGACTTTGAGTTTTATTTTCAATAATTATGATCAGCTAAAAATACCAAAAAGCTGAAGTTTTGGGGTCTTCTGTTCCTTAAACACTTTTGGTTAGACTTCCAGCTCAAAGTGAACAAAATGCAACCAGAAGTAAAGGATTTCTTAGCCAAAAACAAGGGAAAAAAAAGAATATTGTACAACATGAGCCAGTTTACACATAGTTCTTCAAAGAATCAAGCATTTCTAAAATCCAACTGATGGTGACTTCACAAAAATTCTATAAGCCCTCTGTGTACACATTCAAAAGTCTGCAAATTTTTACAATAGCAGCCTCTTTTTTGGTAGAGTAACAGTGTACTTGGATACAATTATTAATTTTATGAGCATCTCAACCAATTCCAAGTTTATTACTGTTTCATGAGGGTTTTTTTAATTTAGGAAAGAAAACTGTTTTCATTATAACATTGAGGTCACCAAAGTTTCTATTTATGTTATCACAATACAAATAATTTTATCTTTAATGTTGAACCTTTTAACTCAGTTTACAGTGGAATTCAGAGTAAAGTCATATATGTCTTTCATTTGGCAGACGGAAATTCCAAAGGTTTTATGAACTAGATGGAAGAAAAGGGAACCATTACTGAATTTAACATAAATGATTTTCTATTTGAAATGGCTTCTAACACTGATAGAAAGTTGACATCATTAAACTGTTTGGGACATTCTTCTTCTAATGCAACCAACATCTTTTGGCCCTTGTGCTCAAAAAACTTGGAACTGAAAATGAGTTAACTAATTTAGGAAAATAGTGACATGGTATGACGGAAAAATGACACTTCCCAGAGGGCTCCATAAAAGTCCCTTCCCAATGTGGTGGACAGATGTACACAATGGAATGTTTTTCAGCAATTTTGTCACAAAAAAAAAAGGAAATCCTGCCTTTTGTGACAACAGGGATGGACCTTGAGAGCATTATGCTCAGAGAAATAAGCAGCTTCCATTCTCAAGGTTCCTCCTGCACTTTGCACCCTACAACCGGGCCCAATCCCTTTCTCTCTGCTTTGCATACTGTTCCCTCCCTTGCTTTCCTCACCTGGTTAAGGCCACTCCTCCCTGAGGACGCAGAGCCTGCCGGGTCCCTCAGACGGTGCAGGAGCCCCTCCCTCTGTGCCCCAGTGCCTTGTCATTACTCCCGTCATAGCTGATGGCGGCTCTTCCTGTAGGACTACAGCAGCCTCTGTGCCTTAATGATCCTTTTATTCCCCACATTTTGGCCAGTGTATAACATTATAAATGTTGATGCAATGAGTAAAGGAATGATTGAGTTGATAAACATTTTCTTGATAACTCTGTGGATGAGGTGGAGGCAGGAAATGAGAGTGTCGGTTGGGTCGGGTTGTCGTTCGGAGGGCCACTTAGCGGTGGCTTTGCCAATTGGATGCTCAATGCAATTTTATTTAAGGAAATAAACAATTGAGCCTGATGTGCTTAGCATTATTGCAAACAGAAGGATAAAGCTCACTCACTGCCTTCTGTAACTCCATTATTGGAGCTTGTGTTCCCGCTGCGATGAGTTGTATGGCCAGGAGAACACTGCGCCAGACAGTCTCAGTTCCCCAGCTCGGGCAGGCTGACTCTCCTGCCAGCAGCTGGGCAATGATGCCTCTCCAAGGATGGGGACACCTGGTTACCTGGAAAGCCATTGACTTCATTACCCTATCCATTTGGTTTCTGCTTTCCTCTAGGTCAGCAAACAAGAACTAAGGGCAGGAGAAAACACTCATCCCAGCTCCCCATGACCTGCCTTCAGTGTTTGATTAAATTCAGCAAACAAGACTAGGTTCTTGAAAAAGAAAATCAGACCTGTTTACTTGGGTGCAGGGCACAGAGTGCTCAACTCCCACAGCATCTAAGCTTCCGTCTTTAGGCATAAAACTCCCTTTCTCCACGTGTCCTCCCTGAAAAATGATGGAACTACAGATGGTGAAGGCACTGACCCCTTTTGGACCACAGGTTGACTGAGGAGGAGGCGAGGGTGAAACAGGGGACCGAGTCAGGTCTCAGCCCATCATCACAGCAGGCAGGATGCTCATCACGACTGTCCTGGCTTATACCTGTGCCAAGATACCCACAGAGATTCCCTGCCCCATGCGAGCCCCCTCCCCCTGCACAACTATATCCTCCTGAGCATGGTCTGTTTCTCAGCAGCCTGTCTGCTCCGAAAATCTATCTACTTCATTTTTTTTAATTTTGTAAAATCTCTTAAAATGAGATCTGTCCATCCTCTGCACAAATATTTACATGCACAATGCCATATTGTTAACTATAGGCGTGATGTTTACAGCACATCTTTAGAACTCATTCATCTTGCATAACTAAAACTTTGTAGCCTTTGAACAACAGATCCCCATTTTCCAACTCCCCATTTTTCCCTCCTCCCAGCCCCTAGCAACTACTATTCTGTAATTATAGATTCTTACAGATTCCACATGTAAGAGGAAGCATTCGCTATTAGTCCTCTGTGACTGGCTCATTTTACGTAGCATGATGTCCTCCAGGTTTATCCATGTTGTAGCAGGGGTCAGAATTTCCTTCTTTCCTAAGGCTAAATAATATTCCATTGTATGTATAGACCACATTTTCTTTATCCTTTCATCCATTGATGAACTTTTAAGTCATTTCCCTCTCTTGGGTATTATAAATACTGCAATGAACACAGGAGTGCAAATACTCTTCAAGATGCTGATTTCAATTCTTTGGGGTTATATACCCAGAACTGGGGTTGCTGGACCATATGGAAGTTCTTCAATTTTTTACTTTTATAGAACCCTCCAAACTATTTTCCACAGAGACTGCACCGTTTTATAGTCCCACCAACAGTGTACAAGGAAAAAAATCTACCTACATCTAACTGGCCTAATTTTACATAAGGAGCCCTATCGTAACAAAGTAAAACATTGAATTAATGATGACATCAGCAATGGTAATAGTAGTGATGACAATGATGTAACGATGCCTTATTTCCTTAGCAACTTTTCCTTAGTACTGAACAGGGCCACTGTTGGCCTCTACAGTACCTTTGTGTGAATTTAAAAGAGGTGACCCTTCCTCAGACAGACAGAGCCCCACACCCTGGCACACTGCTGTGTGATGTCAGCCCCCTCGCACCCTCTCAGGAGAGTGCCCTTGTGCAGTGATCAACCTACGTAACTGTGCAGTGGCTTTCCTGTAGGGGAAACCCAATAAAGTAAAAAAGGCTAGGCAGGGAGCCTGCAGGAAGGGAGCCAGGACTGTGCTCGTAATTTGACAGAAAAGCAACCGTATGATGTTGGTGAGACAAGCTGATTTTATTGCCCGGATGCTTCCTACCTTCCTCAGTATCCTCCTCTGTGGGACCGCTGGTGTGAGGTCCTCGAATTGGCACAGGCGTCTCGGCCTCAGGCGATTCTCTCCTCCTGCCCACATGGGGGCCATACCCATCACGCCTCTCCCCCTCAGGGAGGCCAACCCCGGTTCCCAGTGTGAAAGAGGAGAGTCTACTCAGTTAGACTCGTGACCACGCTTTTGGGGATGGAGGTACAGGTGGCTCTGCATAGATGGATGGATGAGAACGGGCTCAAGAGGAGACTTGTCTTGGCCCAGGGGACTACTGGCATCAGAAGACACTGAGACCAGGGCCCTCCCTGGTGTCTGAGCAGAATCAGAGCCCTTGAAGGGGGAGAGGCTTGGACACTGGAATCCGGGCTTCCTGCCTCCCATGCCTGCATTCTCTCCACGGCACCCACCTGGCAACCTGACCGATCTGAGTTTTTCTCCTCAGGTTGTTTCCCAGGTAAGTTTGCTTTTCTGGAGACTTGGTCCTCCAAGATGGAGTGTGAGGAGCCAGTTCAGAGGTCATGCAAATTTAAGAAGCGAGTTCCCACACCCTCCCCTAGAGAGCCGCTAAGCACTTTGACTTCTCAGAAGCTCGGGTAGTACTGCAGAATCTAACTTGGTTCAACACAACATTTCTGAGACTTTTTGCCCATGGACTCCTATTTTCCCAGCACACTCTCATCCCCACAGAACTCCTGTTCCTCCAGCACTTTCTGAAATAATGAAAAAATTTTTTCAAGTCATCAAAGAAAATTGTGTTAGGTCTAAGAGACAGCCAAGGCAAATCAAACAGGATTGCCTGCCCAGTCAGATGCTCTTTCCCATCCACCAGAGTCATGTATTGATATTTACTCTGTGTGGGAGGCACAAAGGAGCTTATGGTAGAGACAGGGAGGGCTCACGCCAGGATGCCCGGGTCTGGCAGGGCTCCTAGAAGGTGGCAAGGAGTTCCAGGGGCACGTGGGTATCTATCTTATCTCTAGTGGAGAGCAATGCCGTCTACTTCTTCTGTGTATAGCTGAACTGGACTGAGCAGACACTCGGAAAATGCAACTTAATCCTTCCTTCCCAACACCCTGTCAAGCCTACTCCCCTGCATCGTCCTCCCATCCCCGAGACGGAACCCCTCAAACGAGGTGCCCTACACTAGCATTCTCCAGTCACTTTCTTGTATTAATAGACATTTTCAGAAATGAGAAAGCCCAGAATTCTTCCAAATCAGGATTTCGGTCTCTTTTGATTTAAAGTCTCTCCATCCACCCAGCTGGGAGCTGGTTCCGGCTCACCGACCCTTGGTGTGGGGAGAGGAGGGCTGTTTCCCTACCATCAACCCACCTTGATCTTCTGCTTCTCGCTACAACACCCACCCTGTGGGGGAAGGGAAAGGACAGGTAAGGTGGGAAGGACCTTACTTGACAGGTGCAGGGGAGGTGCCAAGTGTTAACTCTCTCCCTGGTCCTCTGCGGGGTTTTGGAGAACCCACAGCCTTACTGGGCAGGTCTTTCAAGCAACCTGTGCGGTCCAGGCTGAACTAATCAAGCCCGGCCACTTCCAAATCTCACTGCAGCTGACAGCAGGCAGGCACCCTCCCCCGCACTCCCTTGCCTGCCCTTTCTCCTTGCTCTGCCTTAGGGACCCCTGTAGCTGGGATCTGTCCTTCCAGAGCATCCCAGTGTCCTCCACCGTGGCACTGCTGGCGTGCTGTGGGTATGCTTTGCTCTGGGGGCCTGCTCTGGGCATTTCAGGGTGTTTAGCAGAACTCCTGGCCTCTCTACCCACTAGATGCCAGTAGCAGCCCTTCCCCTAGCCGTGACAATGAAAATATCCCCCAAACATTGTCCAAGGTCCCCTAGGGGGCAAAATTGCCCCTGACTAAAAAGCACTGGAATAGACTAACCCAGGCAAGAGTTAATGAGGAATTTCAGTGCTTTCTGATTCCGGGAGACACTTTGGATCCGTGAAACCCCCGCTTAGAGAGGCTCTAACCTCTCCTGTCCACTACATGCTCACTAAGCTTTTCCCCACCACCTCAAATTTCTATTTCATAACTTAGGAGGATAATGAGCCAAGAGTGGCAACACTTGGTTTAGGCCACTCCCCACCCCCAGCAGTCCTGGCATGATGGTCTTTTCTTTTGAGGATGTGGGGGCATTTGTTACTTTTTGTACTCAAAATATCCTGCAAAAGGGAACACACTCTATTTCAGCACACTGCAATAGGGACAGGAAAATGGGCTCTGCTGGATTTTAGGTTCAGGGAGACTACAACTAATTTAAAATGACTGTACATAATGTGGAGAAAAATGTGCTTAATAAGAAAATACTTTAAGCATATGCAGCTTACTTAATAAAATCAGATCTTGAGGCTTGGGCCAAAATGGAACAATCTGGAGAGAAGTTGCTCATCTCCTTACCAGGCCTCTCATCTCCCTCCGCACTAGCTGGAAGTCACGCTGGCACTCCCCAGATGGGAGGGAGGGAAGAAGATTAAGATGCCAGCTGGTGGGCAGGAAGAAAGGAAGCCCAGAGAACAGGGATGGAAATTATTCTTATCCCTTTTTTTTTTCTACCTCAATCCCCTCAAAAAGCATTTGTGTACAGAGTGTTTATATAAATGGATGGCTTGGTTCTGTTTCAAAATAGTGAATCAGCTTCACAGAAAAAAAACCAGACATGTAGCTCAATAATATTTTATTGTCAATAGCATAAAAGAAATTTGACACTGAACCTTTGGAGCAAGAAGAGAGGTGAACCTATTTACAGTGAATGCCAGAGTAGATGTGCTCTTTTGGTCTTGAATTCATCTGTGAAATTGCAACACAGATAACTTATTAGAACACCTTTAAAAATTACTACTAATGTCAGGTACCAAACAGCCATCTATAGCAACTAAACCCATGGGCTTTGAAAATAAATACATGTCAAGGCAGCTTAAGCACCTCCATAGATATAGTTATAAGTTCTAAAGGCATTAAGCTCCTTTCCCTTTCCCACTCTCACATTAGAAAAGAGACAAGTTCCTTCAACACTCATAAAATTCTTTTGTCGCCTAGCATGGAAGTTGCTGCGCATTTTAAGTCCCTGGTCGTCTCACATGCAAAACCTCGTCCAGTCAGAATTCCCTGCCAGGGGTCGATGGCCAACCAAACGGCCATGTGGGGCAGTCTAACAAATGTGAACGTGACTTTCTAATAAGATCTGAACCTCCCCTTCAGGTGCTGCAGTTCAGCTACTATAGGTCTGCATTTCTTTTTCCAACATTCCAAGTTTTCAGAAAGTTCTGGAAACAAGCTGCTGGCACACTCACTTGGCAGCCAAACCTAACACTGTGGCTACCTAAGCAGCTTTATCCATTTTGTTTGATTACATTGTGTGGCAGAAACATTAAGGTGTTGATTTATCAGGTGCTGTTCTAGACCCCATCAGTGGAATTCCATAACAGGTACTGTGCGCAACATATTATCTTTCTAAAATCCAAAATCTCAAGAGTTTGAAGAAACCATTGTCCTGTGGGACTTAGCCTAAGGAGCTGCAGACCTACAAAAGCCTGAACATGAGCCCAAGTTTCACGGGAGCCAGGAAAGTTTAACAGATCCCACGTACCACAGTTTTCCAGTCTTTCAGGGAAGTGAGAATGTCTGGAACATTCTGTATCCCAGTGAAGGAAGGCCCAACTCTAGGAATAAAGTCCTCCAGATCCTCCTTACAGGAATTTTCTTTGTGGAAGACTGTACTCCTGCCAATAACGCTAGATAGTGTGACAAAAAATGAATACGTATTTTTCCTCTAGGGTGATGTTTTTTCATTAAAAGCATTGTCTTATATGGGGAGGAAAAGGGAACAAAAGAAAAGATCGCAAAGGAAGGGCCTCTTAGTGTGAGGGCTGCATAGGACAAGTACCAGCCGCCCCCTGATCCAGCAATAATAACAACTTATCATATTTAGAAAGTGATTCTCTGGATGCAGAGTTTGCAGAAAAGTCAGGTGGGACTTAACCTGGGTTCTGCCACTTATGGAGAACAGAACTTGCCAAAGAAAATGATGCTGCGGGTTTTGTTGTGCCTGATGATGTAAATAAATGGGTGGTCGGCATTGAACTCATCCTTGTGCTGCAGGATTCGTGATCCTGGCACCTCTATGGACTCCCCACCATCTTCAGTTATTTCTAAGCATGCTCTGTGAATAACATTGGAGAGGGCCACTCCCTTGGTCTCTGACATTCCAGAGAAGTCAGATGTATTCTCATTAAAGATATTTCTCAGCCCGAGGTTTTGCAGACTAGCCTTGGGGTTGATCATCTTTTCCACCTTAAATTTGGGGATCGAGAGTTTGACTTTGGCATTGGCCATCGTGCTGGCATTGGTCCACCGTGAAAGCATCTCTGAGTTGAGTTGCTTTTCAACCTGAAAGATGAAGAGAGGAAATTATTTTTTTACTCCCAATTGTAAAAGATTGCCCTTGATTAAAAACACAATGTGTCGTTGTGAGCCTACTTTCAAAGCAGTACAAATGGGCCATCGGAGATGGAATCGGTCCCACACTTTTGGTCTTTGACTAGTTTCTCATGAAGGACCCACCCAACCACCTCTCCTTGTTCCCCACCTCCCCACCCTGTGATGCTCCCTGTACTCTGAAATGTATAAGGGCATTTCTTTTAAATTACAGAGTAGCTCTATAGAAACAAATGCATGGATCAGGCACTCGTTGCATAAATAACAGTGAAATAAATATAAAATTAGAAGGGTTTTATGCATAACATTTCTTGAATGCTTATTTTCATTTCTCTTTTAAGAAGTCCAGAATACTCATGTACTAGGCATGGCATCAAATTTAATAACTCAAAGCTAAAGTAACTCTTCTTAAAATGAGAATTTGAACCGTCTATGATCATTGTTTAAGATCATAGGTGACGAATGTCTCCATTTCAGATGGTTATTTTAAAAGTGAGAGATATTCATCGAAACTTAAAATGGTTTAGTCATAAAAATCTTCATTGAGCAAATCTTAAATTGCTCCCCACCCTTCCGGTCTCCCCCAGCTACAGGAGAAACATTTGTACAACAGACAATGGTGACACCGTGACTGTGACTGTTGTGGGACAACCCTGCCCTGAAGTCACTCATGTGAAATCTGTAAAAAACAGGGGGATGACAAGGTCACAAGCTGGTCTCCAGTGTGTTGGTTTTGTTTTTTTGTGGGTGAAAAAACCATTGGATTCTCTCACTAATCTATGAGAGGTTATTTTTCCAATGGATACTATTTCATTTAGAAAAATGATCAGGACCAAAAGATTGTCATACGTGACTAGAATTTTTTGAGCCAAAAGGTATATTCTCTTGCCCATTTTTTATCTGAGAGGGAAGAGAGGGGAGAAAATTAATCCATAACTCAACAAGGCTCCTTAGAAGGAAAAAAAAGCTTTCTCCTCTGTTGTATATGTGTTATGGGTCAAATTCATGTGCTGAACTCCTAACCCACAATGGCTTAGTGACATTTGGAAATCGGGTCCTTGTAGGTGTAATTAAGATAAGGTTCCCTAGGGTGGGCCCTAGCCTAATGACTGCTGTGCTTACAAAAAGGGAAAATCTGGACACACAGACAGACACAGATACACAGGGAGGAAGCCGTATGAATACAGAGATTGGGATAATACTATGCCTACAAGCCAAGGCAAACCAAAGATGGCCAGTGGGAGAGAAGCCCGGACAGATTCTCCCTCACGGCCCTCAGATGGAACAGGCGCTGCTGACCCCCCCCCCCCCCACCCCATCTCAGACTTCTAGCCTCCAGAGCTGGGAGAGAATAAATTCCTTATAATTAAGCCACATAGTTTGTGGTACTGTATCATGGCAGCCGTAGGAGACTAATAGAGTATATATTCCTGAACATCCCTTTCTGAGACTCAGAAGATCATTTTCCTTCATTCTGAACTCCAATAAGAAAAAAACAGGTATGAGGGTATTTTAAGTAAAATGGAAGGTGGCTGAATAACAACTATAGGAGAAAATGAGGCCAAGGAATGAAGTGGAGTAAAACAGANAAATGGAAGGTGGCTGAATAACAACTATAGGAGAAAATGAGGCCAAGGAATGAAGTGGAGTAAAACAGAGAGAGAACAGTTATAGAACAGTGAAGGCTGGAATTATAACTCCTTCAATAAAGTGACGGATAACACAGAATGGCGACTGAAGCAGGGGTAGGGTAGGGACTGGGTCAGACCGTCCCTGGAACATCCGGGCCTTCCTGGGTTCCTCAAAGAGGCCCTCCTTCTTCCTGCCCAGGGCCCAGGCCCAGGTGAGGGAAGCTGGGAAGTGGGAGGGGAGTGGATGGCTGACGGAGGCAGAGGGGAAGCTAAAACATCATGCCCGCCCCTAGCAGATGAAACCTCTGCTGTTGTCTAACCCATGCGCCTCTAACAACCTGTGCAAAGGCTGGAGCACAATCAGGTCTCGTTTATGCATATGCCTTAGAAGAACTTTCCAAAACCCACTGAGCATACAACACAGAATGAACCCTAAGATAAACAGTGGACTTCAGTGAATAATAAGGGCATACTGGCTCAGCAGCTGTGACAAATGTACCGCACTCGGGTCAGGTACTCTGGTCTGGAGTCCATACAGATTCCAACTTCCTAGACTCTAATTCCCATTCCACACACCACTGATGAGTCAGGTGACCACAGGCCAGGTACCTACCCTTGTGCCTTGGTTCCCTCGTTGGTAAGCAAGAGAGTGGTCATAGTTTCTGACTCAAAGGCCTGTTGCAAGAATTCAATGAGATCACGCAGTAGGGAATTTACCATTCCCGGCACATGGGAAGTGCCAAATGAATATTGCCTGTTTTAACATTACCATTCAATAAACAACCACTTCATATGAAAGAGGAAGGTGCAGAAAGGACCCTCAAACTCTTGGAGGTGACTCAGCAAGAGGCAGGACCATGGCCCCTCTGCACAGCCACCCACAGCGCTATCCACAGGCCTCCGGACAAGCAGGTGGCACCTCTGTGAACACCCGCCTCCCTCCTCACCTTCTCCAGACCAGTGGACCCGTCCTCCACGTCCGTGGGTAGCAGGATGAGCATGCTGAGGTGCTTATTTTGAAAGGGCAGCTCTATGATCTTACAATTGATACTGTCGATGTTGCCCATACAGAACGTGGCCTCTGTACTCATCATTTGCACTGGTTTGGTGTCTGTCTG